AGCCTAGAGCACCATCTGCCGTTAAAAACTATCTTTAAACTAGCCTAGAGAACTCTCTGCTGTTAAAAACTAGTCTGTGCCATCTGCTGTTAAAAACTAGCCTAAACAAGCCTAGAGCCCCGTCTGTTGTTCTCATAGAGCACTGTCTGCTGTTAAAAACTAGCCTATAAACTAACCTAGTCAACCAGCCTAGAGTAACGTCTACTGGTAAAAACTAGCCTTGAGCGCTGTCTGCTGTTAAGAACTAGCCTGTAGTGCTGTCTGAGCCTATAGAACTCTCTGCTAAACACTAGCCTAAAAACTAGCCAAGACTGCTATTTGCTGTTAAAAACTAGCCTATAATCTAACCTAGAGCACTTTCTGCTGTTAAAAAGAAGCCTATTACCTAGCCTAGACCGTCATCTGCTGTTAAAAACTAGCCTAAAGCGCCATCTGCTGTTAAAAACTAGCATAGAGCACCGTCTGCTGTTAAAAACTAGCCTATAATCTAACATAGAGCACTATCTGCTGTTAAAAAGAAACCTATTAACTAGCCTAGAGCGTCATCTGCTGTTAAAAACTAGCCTAGAGCGCCATCTGCTGTTAAAAACTAGCCTAGAGCGCCGTCTGCTGTTAAAAAGTAGCCTGGAGCACTGAGCCTAAAGAACTTTCTGCTAAACACTAGCCTTTAAACTAGCCTAGACTGCTATTTGCTGTTAAAAACTAGCCTACAATTTAACCTAGAGACCTATCTGCAGTTAAAAATTAGCCTAGAGTGCTGTTTGCTGTTAAAAACGCCTATAATCTATCCACGAGAACTCTCTGCTGTTAAAAACCAGCCTATAATCTATCCTAGAGCACTATCTGCTATTAACTAGCCTAGAGCACCATCTGCTTTTAAAAACTAGCCTAGAGCACTGGCTGCTGTTAAAAGCCAGCCAAAACTAGCCTAGAGCACTGTCTTTTGTTAAAAAGTGAGCTTTAAACTAGCCTATATCGTCGTCTGCTGTTATAACTAGCCTATAAACTAGCATAGTGCGCCATGCGCCGTTAAACACTAGCCTAGATTGCTGTCTGCTGTTAAAAACTAGCCTAGAACGCCATCTAATGTTAAACACTACCCTAGAGCGCCGTCTGCTGTTAAACACTAGCCTATAAATTACCCTAGATCTGTGTCAGCTGTTAAACGCTAGCTATCGAGCTCTAGTTGCTCAAAGGCAGGTTTGGTTTAGGGTAAGTTGTGTGTAATTATGTTTAATTAGTTGTAATTACTATAGTACCTGTAACAAGCTCACCTGAAAATAAATTGTTACCAAAGTTTTATTTTTAAATTTGTCCCTGCTGAAAAATCCAGCTTAAACCAGCCTAGGCTGGTTGGCTGGTTTTAGCTGGTCGACCAGGCTGGTTTTAGAGGGGTTTTGGCCACTTCCAGGCTGGTTTCCAGCCATTTCCAGCCTGGTCTTAGCTGGTCAGGCTGGGAGATGACCAGCTAAAATCAGCTTGACCAGCCTAGCCAGGCTGAGAGCCCAGCCAAAACCAGCTATGTCCAGCTTAAACCAGGCTGGTCAAGCTGGTTTTAGCTGGATTAAGCTGGTCATTTTTCAGCCTGACCAGCTAAGACCAGGCTGTAAATGGCTGAAAACCAGCCTGGAAATGGCCAACACCCCTCTAAAACCAGGCTGGTCAACCAACTAAAACCAGCCAACCAGCCTAGGCTGGTTTAAGCTGGATTTTTCAGCAGGGGTGTGTCTGTCTGTGTTTATTTCCACACTCTTGCTCACCTTCCACCACAGCTGTCATCTTCCCATCATCCACAGACTCCTCTTCTTCCTCTGTGGGACTGGAGCATTGTGGATTTGAGTGTATTGGGGGATCTGAGGTTTGGTTTTGAGGAACCGGGGTGCCTGAGGATTGATCTGGTGGGTTTAAAGGAGTGCTTGTGGTTTGATTATCACTGATCGGTGATGGTGGGTCTGTGCTAGAGCTTTGGTTTTCATTAGCTGTAGTTTTGTTTTGAGGGTTTGCATTAGTCGGGGTTGATGTTAGAGTTGAAGTAACAGTGCTGGGTGTGGTGGGAAATGATCTGCTTGAAGGCTTTCTCTGTACAGGAGTCATCGTGGAGCCAACGTTGATGTTTCCTTCTGCGTCGGCCAGATATGACACCACACCGAAATCAGGCACGCTTTCAATCACATTCAACTGGTGAGAGCAAGAGGTACATATTACATACAGATGCATCCTCCAGTTCATTCTGAGTTCTTTGTTTTAACTTAAATAATAGTGTTAATAGTAGTTACTGATGACCCAATTTACAATTTTGTGTGAACTGACCCTTTATGAAAAGTATGAGCATGTATTATCGATCTTAAGCCCGTTACGTTATTAACCCTCAGTTTATTGTGTGAGTTTGCAGGTTACACGTTGAAGGTAAGGTTAGCGGTGGTGTTCAGGATGATCCGGGTGTTCAGACATCAGACGCAGGACTGAGGAAGGAGGGATGTGTGTGAAGAAGAAGAAAACAAGGGAACCACACAGACAGGGAGTCGAGAGAAAATCAGCTCCATTTATTGGAAATAACACAGAAGAGAGGAAGACATATTATCTGTGAGGTCTGCTGATCACGCATGCAGTGGTTTATTAGGAACGTGATGCACACACACACACACACATAGATCTTGCAACAGGAGCATGGACTCATCTTGTGTGTTAAAGGGATAGTTTACCCCAAATTTTCAATATTAATTACCTAATTACACAAAACCTTTATGAGTTTCAATCATCTGTTGAACACAAAAGAAGATATTTAAAAAAATGTTGGAAACCTGTTAGCATCGACTTCCATAGTGTTTGTTATTTTCTCACTATTGAAGTCAATGGTTACAGGTTTCCATCATTTTAAAAATATCTTCTGTGTTCAACAAAAAAATAACTTCAGTTTGATTAAATTGAGTACATTTTCATCATTTTGGGTGAACTGCCCCTTTAATTACTCTCTCTCTCATGTCATTTCAATAGTCCTCTGAGGCTTTCGTTCATCTTCTGAACACAAATCAAGTAGGAGGATGAAACCAGAGAGCTCTCTAATCGCTCAAATACAAGAAAGGCAACCAAAAACATTGTCAAAGCAGTCCATGTGATTTCAGTGGCTCAACTGTAATCGTATAAAGCACCAGGAACACTTTTGTGAACCAAAAAACAACTCTGTTCAACTAACATCAGATTAGGGTGTGGGTTTACTTAGGGCATTACAATAGGACTCTAATTATAATATGTCATACTGAGGCTAGTAAACATACAACATGATCTGATGTGAAAGCAAACAAACTCCTTTTAAATGTTTTTAGTGCACAAATGTGCTCTTGAAGTTTCGTATGATTGGAGTTGAGCCATTGAAATCACTGTTTTCACAATATTTTTGCTTTTCTTGACTTTGAACAACTTGACTGTCGATGGAGGATGAGGGAGCTCTCTGATTTCATTGCAAATATTTTAGTGGAACACTCCACCCTTTTTTTCTGAAATAGGCTTATTTTACAGCTCATTGTTAAAACAGTAGAGTTTAGCCAGTTTTGAATCAGCTCAGCCGATATCTGGTCTGTCGTGAGCACTTTTACCTTAGCTTAGCATAGATCATTGAATCGGATTAGACCATTAGCATCTCACTCAAAAAAATTACCAAAGGGTTTCAATGATTTTGCTGTTTAAAGCTTGACTCCCTCATTGTTAAACATTTGAGTTTAGCCAGTTTTAATTCCATTCAGCCGATCTCTGGGTCTGGCGGAAGCACTTTTAGCTTAGCATAGATCAATGAATCGGATTAGATCATTAGCATCACGCTCAAAAATGACTCAAAGAGTTTCAATAATTTTGCTATTTATAGCTTGAGTCCCTCATTGTTAAACAGTTGAGTTTAGCCAGTTTTTAATCTATTCAGCTAATCTTTGGGTATGGCGGGAGCACTTTAGCTTAGCTTAGCATAGATCATTAAATCAGATTAGACCATTAGCATCTCACTCAAAAGAAAGACCAAAGGGTTTCAATAATTTAGCTATTAAAAGCTTGACTCCCTCATTGTTAAACATTTGAGTTTAGCCAGTTTTAATTCATTCAGCCGATCTCTGGGTCTGGCAGGAGCACTTTTAGCTTAGCATAGATCATTAAATCAGATTAGATCATTAGCATCTCACTCAAAAAATTACTAAAGAGCTTAAATAATTTTGCACCTTTAAAGCTTGACTCCCTCATTGTTATACAGTTGAGTTTAGCCAGTTTTAATTCATTCAGCCGATCTCCAGGTCTGTTGTGAGCACTTTTATCTTAGCTTAGCATAGATTTTTGAATCAGATTAGACCATCAGCATCTTACTTAAAAAATTACTTAAGAGTTTAAATAATATTGCACCTTTAAAGCTTGACTCCCTCATTGTTATACAACTGAGTTTAGACAGTTATGAATCCATTCAGCCGATATCCAGGTCTGTCTTGAGCACTTTTAGCTTAGCTTAGCATAGATCATTGAATCAGATTAGACCATTAGCATCTCGCTCAAAAATGACCAGAGTTTCAATAATTTTGCTGTTTAAACCTTGACTCCCTCATTGTTATACAGTTGAGTTTAGCCAGTTTTGAATCCATTCAGCTGATCTCCGGGTCTGGTGGGAGCACTTTTAGCTTAGCATAGATCATTGAATCGGATTAGACCCTTAGCATCTCACTTAAAAAAAATGACTAAAGAGTTTCAATAATTTTCCTATTTAAAGCTTGAGTTTTTTTTAGTTACATCGTGTACTCGGGACAAATGAAAAGTTGCTATTCTCTAGGCCGATACGATTAGGAACTATACTCTCATTCTGGCATAATAATCAAACTTTGCTGCCATACCATGACTCTAGCAGGCTAAAGAAAGATGTAAAATTTGTATTTTTTAAGTGGAGTGTTCTTTTAATTTGTTGAAAAGAGATAGAAACAACATGAGGGTGAATAACTAAAAACATCATTTAAATTTGTGTGTGAACTAACCCCTTTTAAAGGATATTTTTAAGGAGTTTTTATGAATCCAGCTCCTGCTTTTCAAGACAGAATAATGATAAACCATACAGAAATGGAGCATTTGTCTCTCAATTCATAACTGATCATCTTTCGTGTGCTTGTTTCTTCACTAAATCTACACAAGGAAAGTCACACAGTACAATCTGAAATCATTCATTCTCTAATATGGGCTCTTTTTTCTTACACCGCAGCGGAGAATACTGTCAAGTAAATAATGCAAACTGCAAATCACAGTGTGTTTCCGGGTAAAACACTGCATTTGATTGTGTGTGTGGGGGATTAAACTTGGACCAATACTTTTCATTCAGCAAAAATCAAGATATTAGCACCATGTTGAGGAAATACACCACCGGATTAGGGGGGAAGTGTGGAATAAGCTGTTGTTTACGTTTCTAAAGGTTTCTTATGCTCACTAGGATGGCAGTTGATATTTTTCATGACATGGAATTGAGTTTATATTAATGATGTTTGTATGAAATGTATTTTTATGTATATTAAAGTATAAATATTGCAGTATCATTTAAGAATCTGTTTTGTTTTTAAAATAAATACAGCCCTGGCGAGCATAAGAAACAAAAACATAAATATTTAATTATTCCAAACTTTCGCATGTGAAATATAAATTGGGCAATAACTATTATGAATAATTTCTGCATTTATTAATAATGTAAGTTTACTAACATGAACTTAGAATGAACAATACTTGTACAGCATTTATTAATCCAATTGTTTGCATAATTAAACAGCATAGTTGTGCTTGTAAACATTAGTTAATGACAAAAACTAAAAACGAACGACTTTATTTTCATTAACCAACCTTAACAAAGACAAATAAATAGTGTAATAAATGTATTGTTCACTGTTTGTTCGTGTTAGTAAATACACTAAGTACTTTAACCTGTTTATTATTACACTATAATCGATTTCTAAGTAATTTCTTCAACTTAAATTTTTGTGTTTATTTTTTCTTGCCGTGTTCCTCGTCCGGCAGGAAGACACTTACGGTGAAGTCTCCGCTCTCCGTGCCGTATTTATTCTTGACCAGGATGCTGTATTTTCCGGAATCGGCTGTATTGACGCTGGTGATGGTGAAACTGGCAAACTTCCCAGACTCAAACTTGAGGATGTAATGATCGTCTGAAACCATCTCGCGCTCGTTCTTCAGCCACGTCACCTCCGGGACAGGATCACCCCAGATATTACAGGTCAGGTTCAGCGACTAGCACACCGAAGAGACACCAGAAACATACTCAAACCGCGCTCTTTTGTATGAAAAACACTGATTATTATTGCATTCTTTTTTTAATATGTGATGTTAAACAGAGAAAACGACAATATTCAGAGGATTTCCTGTTGGGTTTTTCTCTTTTGGAGGAAGTAATTTATTTTAGTTTGGCTGGAATAATTGTTATAATTTTTTTTTTGGTAGCACTTTAGTTTAAGTCACAATTCATGCTATTAACTACTATTATTACCTGCATATTTTTAAGTTATTAACTGTTCGTTAGTAGTGATGATTGACTTAGACTACATTTCCATTATTTGCCAATCAGAGGCAGAGTAGGGCGCAGGCCCGGATTGGCTAATCGGGAGGACTGGGAGAATTCCCAGTGAGCCGGTCCGTTTTTTGGCCGCGAGGGCCGGTGTCCCTAGTTCCAGAATCTGTTGCTCTCAGCAGTCACACTTTTTAAAAATAATTTATTTATTTACTTGACCACAGCCTTCTTATTCATTATTTTACCGCAGCTCTGCTCTTTTTTTTAATCTATTTTCTCGTAGCCTTGTGAGCAGGATGCAGCCTGCAGGTTAATGATCATATAACTAGATAAGTCACCGTTCACCGTACAGTTGTTGTGGTACAGTGGTTAGTACAATTAGATAATAACGCGGCCAACCTAAATTCGGTCCTTGTCTGAGTAACAATTTTTTTTTTTCATTTTTATTGTTAAGACATAATACTGTTAGGGTTGTTGAACATTTGAAGTTCTAGAAGAGCTGTTTTCTCAAAAAAAGACGTGATAGTGTAATTAGAAACTGAATTGGAAATAACCTTATTTTAATATAGTCAGTGGTAAACTGAGGTGGGCCGGTATGAGGCTTGAAACTCCAGGGCTGAAAAAGAGTCCCACTCCGGCCCTGGTAGGGTGTGTGTTTACACAAGCACACGCACAGTCAGTCACACACACCAACGACCAGGAGTCAGAACGATGACAAATCCAACAAGATCGAAGGTAGCTTTGCAAACCGCAAGAATGTTCATGCATCGTGCAATTTCATTCATTCATTCATTTTCTTGTCATCACCCTTTATTAATCCGGGGTCGCCACAGCGGAATGAACCGCCAACATATCCAGCACATTTTTACACAGCGGATGCCCTTCCAGCCGCAACCCAACTCTGGGAAACATCCACACACACTCATTTACACACACACTCATACACTACGGACAATTTAGCCTACCCAATTCACCTGTACTGCATGTCTTTGGACTGTGGGGGAAACCGGAGCACCCGGAGGAAACCCACGCAAATGCAGGGAGAACATGCAAACTCCATACAGAAACGCCAACTGAGCCGAGGCTCGACCCAGCTACCTTCTTGCTGTAAGTCGACAGCACTACCTACTGCGCCACTGCCTCGCCGGCATCGTGCAATTTATGCCCAAGAAAAAAAAAGTCTCTCTGCAACAGTGACAAGCAATTCTAATCTAATGAAGCGCCACACGTCGTCACAAGAGGCCACAAATTACCTTGCCCTCTTGTATGGTCACGACATCAGGTAAACCACCAGCCACACGAGCACGATCTGTGGAAAACATTGAAAATATACATTTACAATCCACTCGTAACATCTGCAGAACAAACAGCCGAGATGAATCCTCCGTCTACTCACTTCTCTCTGCAATAGCTGCAGCCCTATGAAAAAAACAAAAGGGGAAAATTTACATATTATTATTGGGTTTTTCAACACTCATCACTCCAGAAACTTGCATTCTGTTAATGCAAAACCCACTTTCCCGAACTCTCGCGTTCAATCTGCCCAGTTGGTGGAATGAACTCCCTAACTGCATCAGAACGGCAGAGTCACTCGCTGTCTTCAAGAAACGACTAAAAACTCAACTATTTAGTCTCCACTTCACTTCCTAATCTGCAATTGCCTCTCTGGATATACCACTAACTGTATTACAGAAAAAAATAATCTAATAAAAAAAATTACTATTTACCTGAAACTTGCCTACAGCACTTACTCATTGTTGCTCTTATAGTTGTGTAAATTGCTTCCTTGTCCTCATTTATAAGTCGCTTTGGATAAAAGCATCTGCTAAATGACTAAATGTCAATGACAAATCTCAGAATATTGCAGGTGTAAAGATACTTACTTGAGTCTTTGAAATTCAGCAAATGCATCATCAAACGCTGAAATATGACAAAAAAAGCATGATTATTATCAACAGAGGTTTTTTAAAAGCCTCACGAGGTGTGCTATACAATATTTTGATGCTTTTTTTTTTCTCGCTAACAAAATTACACAAAAATAAGCACTTCTAAAAAACATTGTTAAAAAAAACAACAACAACAAAAAAAAGAGCAACACTTTAGTTTAAGAACCAATTCCCACTATTGGCTTATTACCTGGTTATTATTAAGGTATTAACTGTTTATTAGTACTTATAAAAGATGATTTTATTCTACTGTGCATCCTTAAACCTACCCAATACCTAAACCCAACTACCTTAATAATGTCACGATCACCAGCAATCGTAGTCAGTTAGATCGCTGGTTCTCACTCACAACTAACCATGGACTACACTTCCGCCTTTTCCAGGACTACATATTCAGACATGCACTTCGCCCAGACACTCATGCTCACTCATCTAGACTGATTACATTCGCACACCTGAGGACTTTCAGAGACTGATTAAACACCCTACATAAGCCACTCATTCACCCATCCTGTTTGCCGAGTCTTGTTCGCTTTCAGTGACATTACAACGCGTTTCTCCTTGTCTTGTTTCTCCGTCTCTCGATCCTAGCCTTGTATATCCTTGTTATCCTGTTTAGCCACCTGCCTTACGACCTATTGCCTGTACATTGATTACGACTCTGGATTTGCCTGCACATACCTGTTTATACCTGATTTGACCATTGCTTGCTTGACACTGAATTAACCTGCATATTGGATCTTACCTCCAGTTGTGTGTATGTGTGTGCGTTACAAATAACTATTAATAAGCATCCAATTAAGAATTTGAACTAACAGTAATGGGTAATAGTTTGTTTATACTAAAAATTTACCTTTAAATACCCTTAAATAAATGTTTCATTGTGTTAAATCCGTTTGTAACAAACATCAAATCTTAAAGAGTATATCTTTAAAAACATTTGCTTGTAGATAATATATTGAGATGAAAAATGGCTTATGTGTAGTAAAAAGAGACTTAAGCTGCGGTGACATTAGGGTTTGAGCATGCAATATTCTGTCGTGCGGAAAGGGGCGGGATTAAACAAGCTTATTAGACATTTAAAAAAGCGAGCGATTGGTCCATGTTCTAAATTTCTGCACAGAGAGGTCATGTTTTGATCCTCGATTGGTCTCACGCAGTCAAGCGATGCGATTTCGCAGGCCAGAGTGCACCAAGCTTAAACTTTGCACTGCAGCGACCTGCGAAACTTAACGCATGACCCTGCGTTTCCGGTCTGATGCATTCGTGTGCGTATGAATGGAAGTCTATGGGAGGAAAAGCCCAGTGTGACCGCAGCTTCACTGAGGGCTGATTATGCTAATGGGATAATCACTAGTGGGCAGGGCTTTCCCCCTCTGAGGACACATACAAATAGAGAATGTCAGTCAGAGTGTTTCTGCAGTGCATACCCATGCCGTTTTTACTATCACAGTATTATAAAAATATTATAGCTAAAAATTGTGTCAAGATCTGGGTTTAGCTCAGTCGTCGCTCTAATTTACAGATTACAGCTCTTCTATGCCCTGTGTTTTTTCTGTTGAACACAATACAAGATATTCTGAAGAATGTTGGAAAAAACAGCCTCATAATGGGAGCATTAATTCTATGTAAGTCAATGGCCGTAATTTCCCATCTTAATTTTTGAACTACCCCTCTAAAAGTCTGCTCAAGTTTGTTATTGAACAGTCTTGAAGGTGTTTTTTTTTTCAGTGAATGTGTCTGTGTCTCTTCACCTTGTCCGGCGAGCTCCACAGTTCTTCGTAGTCCTCCTTTCCCATCGAAGAACTCAATGGCGTATTTGCCTTTGTCTTTCTCTGTGGGTTCAGAGATCTGCAGCCACAGCTGTTCCCCAACAACACCGCTCTTAATGCGCTCGGTGAACGCGATCGCGGCGTCCCTGGAAGAACAACACACATATGTTGGGTTTTTATGTTTTATGGGGACTTCCCATAGCCGTAATGATGAAACTATACAGACTGCATATTGTGCCCACAAAAAACCTCACAGAAAACTCTGCAGTTAAAATATTTCATTTTGGAAGACTTACAGACACTCGAACATTGCTTATCTAGTGGTAGGGGCAGAGCTGTCAGGCACTGATGTTAGATCATTTTATTCATTTTGGATTGTGCAACCAAAGTTCTCCCATAAGAGTGATTATGCTGCCTCCCGATGGGGAATGCAGTTGTGCTCATGACAGGCACTATTTGGTATTTTGGTCATTTATTTTACCAATTTGGCAGCCGTCGAATGTCATCTGGGAAACGGATTGAATTTCCTGTTAGTAAAAAAAAGTTCCAAAGGTTCTATTGTTCCATTAACATTCATATACTACGCAGTAAAGTTTGTAAGTGTATAAGCACATACAGTAGTGTACAGGGGCGCCTGCAGGATTTCATTGCAAGGTACGCACAGATCCAGCACCGCCCCGCCCCCTTCCGATGGCTGATATTTCAGTATTCAAACATTAAATAACGAATGCATCAAGTAAAATAAAAATGAATATTTTTTTTTATAATTTAGCTAAATTATGCTCTTTTTATCTTGGCATTTTTATTATTTTATTTTTGTTAGTTTGAATATTTTTTGTCTTCATAATTAAAGCTAAAGACAATATCCTGCTTGACATTTTAGAAAATATTTTGCGAAGCTACCCAGTATGTATTAAAGATCACAGAGAACAAAAAAAAAACACAGAAACATGTTACATGCCCCCATAAATGTCCAACTTATATTTAACTGAATCGTAAAAAAATTGTGAAAATTGCTCATTTTATTTTTATAAAACGTTTTAGTATTATTTATTGACATTTAAGAGTCCATATTTATTTTATTTATTCATTAATTTAACCTGTTTATTGGTGCATATATAGGCTATAATTTAACTCATACAACAGTACCTTGGACAGCCACAGTGCCACTGAAGCTTTCAAACACAACCCCAATAAAGTAATGAAAGATTAGACTTTCTCCGGTAACGGCCGACATCTCAACACGCCGTAACCGTCCTTCGGGTGGTATAGCCGGCATTAAATCACAAAACAAGACGTCTGGCTTAACTGAAGTGCAGTTGTTTCCTCGTTGTTCAAAGAGTCTGCAAGTTCGTGTTTCATGGATATAGTATGTAGCTATAGGATTGTGAGCATCAATGATGTTAAGCGTGTCTTTATTCGACGCACAGCAGAAAAAAAAAGTCAGCAGTGCATGTAGCTGTTGTTCTCAGTGGAGAAACAACCGTAACCATACCCAAGTGTTCTCAGGTTGATTTGGCACGATAGTGGAAAAGCAGGCAGCTGTAGTGTATACTGTTTAATAATCAATTTAAATTATGCCACAAATAAATAAATAAATAAAAAGCGGCATTAATTCCCGCCCTCTCATGGTAGGTACGGCACCACTGCAGGCACCACTGGTAGTGTATAAGTGCATAGTGTGCATTTGGGATGCACCTTTTGTAAATATTGATTTGAAGCAGAATATACTGTAAAATCTTACTTGTGGTGCCAGGTGACGTGCAGCTCATCATTATAATAGCTGACGAAGGTGTAAAGTCTGATTCCCTCCTCTGTGCTCTGGATCTTTAGCGGAGTCGAGGAGTTCGCTGTGAAAAAAGACAGAAAACTTCTGAACTGCACTGCTAAAAGTGGACATTTGTGAAGAGATTTTATGAGGAAGTGTTCTGTTTTGTGTCATGTTGACGTTGTGAATCTTACCAATAACACTGAAAACCTGGTTCATCAGGTCTTTGAATCCTGAAAAAAAAAGAGAATTCTTAAAATCAAACTATTTATATTTTAATTATGATCGGCAACTTTCAGAAAAAAAGCAACAAGTATAAATGATCTGCTTAATCTTTGGGGAGAAATTTTCAGGAATTAAATATGATACAAATGTATGTACAGCTATATTACACATATTATACATAAAATACACAACATGGCTTTCATTAAAAGACTAATTTTGCATGAGGCCATTCACACAGAATGTGTTTTTTTTCCCCCATTCCAATCCTTCCAATCAATGCCAGTTCCAAAGCCGTGGAAGAACTCAGAGGTGGGGCAAGCGATCCTCTGATTATACAGTGCTCAGCATATTCTGCATCAAAACACGCCTCAAAAATCTCTCTTTTAAATTCATATTTTTAATAGGAAGCTATTCAATATTATATTTGTGCATATACATTAGATTAGTCTGTACTGAAGCCAAATCTGGAGCTAATCTAACAAAATAACTTATGATAACGGTCCAAAAACGAGTACACCCAAATGTATATGTTATAGAAAAATATTAAATACAAATAAAATAAGAGGAAAAACCAAGAAGCAAAAAAATGTCAAATTTTGTAGTTCATCTTTTTTTTTTTGCAATATTTTTCCTGAATTTAATTGTATTATCTTTCAATTTTCAAATATGTTTGGTGACTAAAATGTTATTTTAATAAATATATCTGTTTAATAAATCTGTTTTATTTAAATGCTCCAAAATACACTGCCTATATTCACTGAGAAATAAATAAAAATATTAATTTTCAAAATGGAGTGCACTCAATTATGCTGAGCACGATATATATATATATATATATATATATATATATATATATATATATAATTTTTTTTTTTTTTTTACTGGAAACACTATTGTGATTGACATTCCAAGGTATGTTATTGCCAGATAACAACCCGGGCAGATAACAACGCATTCTGTGTGGCCACTATCAATGTAATTTTGTTGTGTCTATTAGTAGAAAGTAATAGTATTTCTCAATCAGATTTCTGCTGTTACCTTGGTCAGTAAGGTTGAGGGTGGAGGTGTCTTTGCCTCTTTCGTCTTTCAGAACCACTTCATAAATACCAGCATCCTTTTTCGAAATCTGCCATTGACACATAAATAAAATGTATGACAACAATGACGAGCTGTTAACACATTTCTAACATGTTTTATCAGTTTGCGAGCATGTTTTAACATACTGTAGTCTTCTTAGTAGGATGTTTTAGCAATTTCCTTATACATTTGAACATGACCCTACTGAAAAAGACAGCTTAAACCGGCTGGTATTAGCTAGTTTTCCAGGCTGGTCATGGCTGGTTTGTCAGGCTGGCTTTAGAGGGGTTTTGGCCACTGTTCAGCTGGTCTTTGTTGGTCAGGTTGGTTTTAGCTTGGCAAGCTAGTCTTAGCTGGTTTTAGCTGGTCAGGCTGGTTTTAGAGGGGTTTTGGCCACTGTTTAGCTGGTCAAGCTGGTTTTAGTTGGTCAGGCTGGTTTTAGAGGGGTTTTGGTCACTGTTTAGCTGGTCTTAGTTGGTCAGGTTGGTCTTAGCTGGTTTTCTTAGCTGGTCATGCTGGTTTTAGAGGGGTTTTGGCCATTGTTTAGCTGGTCTTAGTTGGTCAGGTTGGTCTTAGCTGGTTTTAGCTGGTCAGGCTGGTTTTAGAGGGGTTTTGGCCACTGTTTAGCTGGTCTTTGTTGGTCAGGTTGGTCTTAGCTGGTTTTCTTAGCTGGTCATGCTGGTTTTAGAGGGGTTTTGGCCATTGTTTAGCTGGTCTTAGTTGGTCAGGTTGGTCTTAGCTGGTTTTAGCTGGTCAGGCTGGTTTTAGAGGGGTTTTGGCCACTGTTTAGCTGGTCTTTGTTGGTCAGGTTGGTCTTAGCTGGTTTTCTTAGCTGGTCATGCTGGTTTTAGAGGGGTTTTGGCTACTTTTTAGCTGGTCTTAGTTGGTCAGGTTGGTCTTAGCTGGTTTTCTTAGCTGGTCATGCTGGTTTTAGAGGGGTTTTGGCCACTGTTTAGCTGGTCAAGCTGGTTTTAGTTAGTAAGGCTGGTTTTAGAGGGGTTTTGGTCACTGTTTAGCTGGTCTTAGTTGGTCAGGTTGGTCTTAGCTGGTTTTCTTAGCTGGTCATGCTGGTTTTAGAGGGGCTTGAACAGGCTGGGAGACCAACTAAAATCAGCCTGACCAGCCTAGCCAGGTTGAGAGACCAGCTAAAACCAGCCTGGCCAGAATGGGAGACCAGCTAAAACCAGCTTGACCAGGCTGAGAGACCAACTAAAACCAGCCTGGTCAGACTGAGAGACCAGCTTGACCAGCCTGGCCAGGATTGGGAGACCAGGTAAAACCAGCTTGACCAGGCTGAGAGACCAACTAAAACCAGCCTGGCCAGATTGAGAGACCAGCTTAACCAGTCTGGCCAGACTAAATCCAGCAACTTCCTGCTAAAACCAGCTAAGACCAGCCAACCAGCTTTAGCTGTTTTAGCTGTTTTGTTTTAAGCAGGGGAATTAGCATGCTGCTAACAGTTTTACCCCAGGCTAACATGACTTAGCTGGTGTGAACATATTGCTAGCATGATTTTGTCATGATTAACTGGTTGCATTGCATTGAAGGTCCACATTTGATCAGTTTTTGCTTTCCCACAAACTTTTGCGATGCTAGCACTAGCATACTTCCCTACGTTAGCTACTGGAGGACCAGTTTTTGTCTGTTTAGCTTTTAAGTTTCTGCCGCTCACCTGTGCGATCTCCAAAGTTAACACTCCTTCAGAGAAATCCAGTTTTTCGTCGACCTTCACCTCCCGTCCATCTTTATACCACAACGCCGTCGAGTCTTTCTTCATGTTACCAACCTACAGCACAGATTAGCACATGATTATTGAAGAATCAGAGAGCTGAATGAGTGTCTGTGAGTGTTGGAGTGTAGAGAGACGTCAGCTCACCTTACACTTCAGTCTGACGCAGCATTCAGGTGTCACTTCATAACCAAGATACTCCACAAAGTGTGGACCTGACAGAGTGTAAACAGACTGATTAGCATACAGACACAGTCTCTGCAATGGCGCTAACATACACATAGATTTTTTCTTTGTTTTGGTTTTGTTATGTATATAGCACATCCTAAAGGTGCTCTGTTGGATTGAGATCTGGTGACAGTGGAGGTCATTTGAGTACAGTGAACTCATTGTCATGTTCTAGAAACCAGTCTGAGATGATTTACACTTTATGACATGGTGCGTTATCCTGCTGGAAGTGGCCATCAGAAGATGGAGACACTGTGCTCATAAAGGGATGGACATGGTCAGCAACAATACTCAAATAGGCTGTGGCGCTGACACAATGATCAATTGGTACTAATGGACCCAAAGTGTGCCAAGAAAATCTCCCCCACACCATTACACCACCACCAGCAGCCTGAACTGCTGATACGAAGTAGGATGGATCCACGCTTTCATGTTGTTAATAACAAATTCTGACCCGACCATCAGAATGTGTCAGCAGAAATGGAGACTCATCAGAGCAGGCAACGTTTCTCCAATCTTCTATTGTCCAGTTTTGGTGAGTCTGTGTGAATTGTAGCCTCAGTTTCCTGTTCTTAGCTGACAGGAGCGGCACCCGGTGTGCTCTTCTGCTGCTGTAGCCCATCCGCCTCAAGGTTGGACGTGTTGTGTGTTTAGAGATGCTCTTCTGCAGAGCTCGGTTGTGCTTATTTGAGTTACTCTTGCCTTTTTGTAACCAGTCTGGCCATTCTCCTCTGACCTCTGGCATCAACAAGGCATTTGCGCCCACAGAACTGCCGCTCACTGGACATTTTCTCTCTTTCAGACCATTCTCTGTAAACCCTAGAGATGGTTGTGCGTGAAAATCCCAGTAGATCAGCAGTTTCTGAAATACTCAGACCAGCCCGTCTGACACCAACAAACACCTTTTCTTCCTATTCTGATGCTCGCTTTGAACTGCAGCAGATCGACATGCCCAAATGCATTGAGTTGCTGCCATGTGATTGGCTGATTAGAAATTCACATTGACGAACAATTGGACAGGTGTACCTAATAAAGTGGCCGGTGAGTGTATATTTTTTTTTATTTAAAAAATGATCATGTGAGACCACTCAAACAGTAAACTAATGTGAACTTAGACTGTTTATATGACTTTTTTATGCACACATAATATTTTAGTGCATACACTATACTCATACCTTGCTTTCTATGCCATTCTTTCCTCTGAAACTCTGATTCCTTCTGCAACTGCTTAAACACTGAAAGAAACAAGAAAACATCCCTGATACACACTCTGTAAATCAGATGCATGTGCTGTATGTAGGAAATCCATTCATTTTCAGACGTACCATCTCCGATTAGCACTAGACTGGACTGGTTGGTGGCTTTTCCGTCTTGAAGCTGGAAAGTGAACGTGCCCTCGTCCTCTTTGCCCAGAGACTCCATGAACATCTCAATGATGCCAGTGTTTTTGTCAAAGTTCATCTTGTATTTCTACAACACACCGGAGTAGTTTAGTTTAAAATGTATTATTATTACCTTTGATGCGATTCATTCTGATATGTGAGGTGTGAGGTTTACCGTGTAGTGCTTTGAAATGTACATTTTTTTTATTCAATGTTTGATATAATTTCAACTGAAACGTGGAAGAGAGGGCGGGGCACATCAGATACTAGAGAGCATTTGATTGGTCAGGAGATTTGATGAGAAACTGAAGTATGAGAGGACGTCAAACAAATCGTTGATCTATTCAGGCGGAAATTGACAAACTGCAAGCTTTGGATGTTTATATCAGGTTTATATCTTCTAAATGCACCTTTTGTCAATGTTCTTGGAGCACACTAGCTTATAGATATCCTTAAGATTAACATACTTTAATTTCAACCAAACACCAAATACAAATAGAAAAATAAATAATCTACACTCTAAAAAATATTGTTTAGACAAAACAAAAAAAATGTACGCAACAGTTTGCATTAATATGTTCGTTACAACAACATCTAACAAAATGAGGTTCAGACAGCAAACTTTATTATGTTAGCCAAATCTTTTCCTCCTCAATCAAAGGCACTTTTACATAGCAGAAAGCTCAAATTTTTAGGTCGAGTACTCAAAAAAAAAAAGTTGTTTCAATTAGTTTTTTTAATTAAAATTGAAAACAAATCCAGTGTAATGTGCTTAATTACATGCATGTTTTCACGTTTAGAACCTCAAATAAATTAAGTAGCTAAGAGATACATTTAACAACAACATTTTTGGTTTCCGCGAATTTTTTATTTGTATTAAACTACAGGTTTTCATTGTTTTACAAAACAAAAACATGTACTGTACCATATTATCAGTATAAAAAAAATAACAAAAAACATCAATGTGTGGACTTAAAAATACAAAACAACTCCATTAGTGTGGAAAAACTGAGTTATCAACCCAATTTCTCTGGGTTGCTACAAGATAAATATAAGATATATTTACCTTTAAATTAGCCGCATTTTTAAATTGATGTAATTTATTAATATATTTAAGTTTTGAAAACTTAATAAATATTCTGCCAACTTAAAAGTTTTAATCTAATCAGCATTTTAGAATTTTTAAGTTACAATAATGTTTTAAATTATGCAGTGGTAACAGACCTCTTGAGTTATTTTTTAGAGCGTAATAAATAAACAAACTAAATACAAACATTTATGACGATTTGTAGAACATCTAATTGACCTTAAGCTCAAAATAATAATTCAAAGGGGTGAGTACTGTCTCTTAGTATTATTTTTATGTGTCCTAGTGTTATTTGCAGTCAGTAGCGTGTGTAATATTTGGTGTGGCTGTGTTCATCTGACCTCTCCCTGCGAGATCATGTTGTCATTGAACACGTATTCAACTTTTGCGTTGGCAGAGATTTTGGCCGCCTGTAGCCAGAAGCGAACTCTGCCTTTCTCCAGCAGCTCCACGGCCAGCTCCGTCTTCAGAGGGATGACTGGAGGAGAAACCAAAGTGCATTGCACATAAAAAAACAACTAATAAATGAAATATACTCTTAATAATAATTATAATCTCTTTGGGAGAAACTATTTAGCCATTTTAAACATCATGTAAAATATATAAATATATTTTCCAGTTGTCTAAATATACATTTAAAAAATAAGCTAATAGGGTATATGACGAAGCATGCTAATGGGACTTTTAATTTGCCAGTAACCTGGGTTAAGCACTTCCGGCGAACTGTATGCCAATGCAAAAAACCAGCACGTTTAAGGTCTGTTTTCTTTAAAAATCAGCGATCTCCACTGGCTGAGTGAAATCCGATATAAAGTGGGTCTCAGATTGTACAAGAAGCACTGCATTAAATGACATTTCCCCCCGCCATGTCTTTATAATATGAGCATTTATTTTACCCCAGTATATTCAATAGAGCTTCATTGTTAGCCTGCCGATTCTGATGGGCGCATGCAAGTAAACGGCTTTTTGTCTCGTTTTATGCTCGAGAAACTAAATGAATGCCAAAGTTTATTTAACTAAATGTTTTTTAATGACATTACAACATCGATGCTGTAAAAGGAACCATATAAAATGGAAAAAAGTTCACAATAACAGGTCATCAGAAGTGTATCAGTATGGGAAAAACACTAGCTTGGCATATACCCTATTTCTCAAATGATTAGTTTGAGAAGATATTTCAAATAAATTTCAATAATCTGCCAGTCTAAGGGTTTTCATTTGGGAAAACTCTTGTATTTTTAAAAATAAAGGGTGTTTTTTTTTTATATCACAGTTCACATTATTGTTGCAATTGAAATATAGCGTGAATAGGTAAATATTCAACTATCTGCCATGTTGAGAGGGGTCTGGATGCAGACATGGTGCAGTGCAATCTGGCCTGCATCTAATGCTTTTTAATGGGCTCACCTAACCCCACACCACCCCTAACTCTACCCATCACAGTGACGTCACTTGCTCCATTTGAGTGCATTGTGTCTGACACTGCATTGCTGAGTAATGCAATCTCAGCTTGCATCATAAAGGCTGCATCCAGATACTATTGGCCATGTTTGGAGTTTTTTAAAACACATTTTAAATTAAATTTTGTCTTTCTGAATAGAATAATCTTCCAAAACCAGGGAAATATTTTCCATAAGAATCTTCACTTCAGTCGTCCAGAAAAAGTGAGCCACTTTTGGGACTTTTTATTAACGTAAAAGCTACTGAGTTCAATAATATTATCATTCAGTTCATTCATTCATTTTCTTTTCAGTTTAGTCCCTTAATTATCTGGGGTCACCACAGCGGAATGAACCGCCAACTTATCCAGCATATGTTTTATGCAGCCCTTCCAGCCACAACCCAACACCAAGAAACACCCATACACTCTCATTCACACACATACACTACGGCAAACTTAGCTTGCCCAATTCCCCTATAGCGCATGTCTTAGGACTGTGGGGGAAACCAAAGCACCCGGAGGAAACCCATGCGAACACAGGGAGAACATGCAAACTCCACACTGAAACTCCTGACCCAGCCGAGGCTCGAACCAGTGACCTTCTTGCTGTGAGGCGATCATACTACCCACTTTGCCACCGTGCCGCCCATATTATTAATTCATTCATTCATTTTCTTTTCAGCTTAGTCCCTTTATTAATCAGGGGTCGCCACAGCGGTATGAACCACCAACTTATCCAGCATATGTTTTACACAGCTGATTGCTTTCCAGCCGCAACCCAGCGCTAGAAAATACCCATACACTCTTGCATTCACACACACACACTATGGCCAATTTAGCGCTACCCACTATGCTGCCCCTATTATTCAGTTTTAAATTATTTAGAAAAATAATAATTTGCTTGAACCACTGTTGTCCAATCACTTGCCTAATTAACCTAATTACCCTATAGTTAAGCCTTTAAATTGCACGTTAAGCTGAACACTAGTATCTTATCATTTTTTAAATGTTTAAAAATCTTCTTTCTTTTGAACAGCCCTATTTGAAAAAAACAATACACTTTATATTTATTATATTCATAATTTTATCTTCAGCTGTATATACTGTACACATTAGTCAAGTGCAAGCCAGATAGCAGCAGAATGGCAGTAGTATAAAAACAGGTATAACTCTGACCATATAGCAGCTGCATCCAGTTATTTGATATTACTCAGTACTTAAATGGATACTGTAAACCAGGGGTCACCAACATGGTGCACCAGGTAGCCCTTGAGGATCTCATGTGTTGCCAGAAGGCCTGTTATAAAAATAGCTCACCATAGTGCCACTTGCCAGTAAGCTTCATCTTATATCGAAGTAATCATTAAAAAATATAAATATTTGCAGAGATGTATAATAATAAAGTGTTGCACATTGATACATTAAATACAGGGTATTTCCTACCCTGTTAAATCGTTGTTGATAACTTTTGTAAGAATCATTTACATGATCAGTGTCTTCACATGGATGAATATCATTTATTATTACCAAAAACATAAAGTATAATTACAAGTAAATTGAGCAAATTTGTTATTTGACAAGTGTCTATCAAACTGGAAGCCCTCCACATTAATCAGTACCCAAGAAGTAGCTCTCAGTTTCATAAAGGTTGGTGACCCCTGCTGTAAACTAAACAACAACAACAACAACAAAACTCACTGGGGAATTTGTGGTCGTGGCTGACCTTCAGCAGTTCTTTCAGAGCTGTTAAGAGCAGATCAAGTGAGCAGAATCAATAACTTGAGCACACTTATAAATACAAAAACAAAAAAGCAGAAAACAGATAATCCGACCTTCTTCAGAGAACGTGTAGCTGGCAGACGCTCCATCAGTGTGTGTCACGAAACAAGAGTAGATGCCCAGATCCTCCTCTGAAGGAGAGTTAAAGATGGCTTTGGACCTGCAGACCAGCATTGAAGACTTATTACAAGATGACTTTTGTAATTAAAGCTCTGTAAATGTGGCTTGACTTGGGCTGCGATTACCAAAAGCATCTAAAGCCTAAGTAGATGGTCAAAATGATTGTGCGACTGGTCGTAACGTTATAGCCTGTTGGCGAAAAGCATCATAACTCAACTAGCACTTGAGATTGTTGCAGGTCATCGTAAGTGTTGTGATTATCAGCGACCTAGTGGCTGCAGATCGCTAACAGACTACAAATCTGCCATTTATGGACTACAAAATCCAGTCATGCACCACACACACACACACAACCAGTTCCTGATCATGACTGATTGCATACACACAGTCGGAGGATTGACATAGACTGATTACAAGGACTATAAAGACAGCACATTAGGATGCATTTTCCTTGCCTTGCTTTGCTTTGTTTTTGACCCTCGCCTTGTTTGTTTGTTTATGTTGTCTGCTGCCTGCCTTATGAACATTCGCCTGCATATTGACCTCTACTCTGTATTGCCCTTATACATCTGTTTTGACTGTTGCTTACCTGACCATTCTGTTTAATAAACCTGCATTTGGATCCGCACCTCTTCAGCGTCCCACTTCACGTTACAGTAAGAGTTGTGAGTTATGAGGACAGTCGGCAGATTACTGTAACTTTATTCAAGTGCAGTGAGTTCCATACTGAAACTAGTCTTCGGGCTAATTTGGGAATGTTCATCTCCTTGGGGAACGTTGATTAATGTACACTGAAATAAACAAAACAAAAAAGCAAACACATACTTACTTGCTACCCTTGGTTTCTAAGGTCATGCGTTCAGGTTCTGTCATTTCCTCGTAATTCTTGGACCAGACAAATTTGGAGTCGCCGGTAAGGTTGGAGCACTCGAAATTCAGTGAAATGACACCTTCATCATCGACATTCACCACTATTTCAGCAGTGCCTGTGGGAAAACACAGCGTTCGTTAGCTTGTTGATTAATGACTAAAGCATTACGACGCGTTACTTGTCAATACAACACAGCAGTAATAACTTTATGAATATCTTTACATGCAAGATTGATGATATCAGAGATAAAAAAGCACCATCAATCTGTCTTCTACAGTGTCGTCCCAATTAGAGCACTGTAGATTGTTAATTATGAAAAAAATGTCAGACTTTCTCAGCAGCAGTAGACGAAGAACTGTCTAAATTTGTAAACTCCTCCAAATCAACGTCTATACGTGTTATTTCTCAAGTTTTTTTCCTTTACTGTACTGTGCCAAAAGGAAGCCCTATGTTAACAGTGTCCAGGAGAACCAAAATATAAGAATTATTTTGGAATCAGATTTTGACCCCCAGAATTGGAATTGGATCTGATTGTTAAGTTGCTAAAGATTCCCATCCCTAGCTCCTATAGAGGTTATCTGCAGTAGTAATTTCAGAAGGATTTGAGAAACACAAAATCGTTCGTATGTGTTAAGTAAGAAAAGGAAGCCCTATGTTAACAGTGTCCAGAAGCACCGTCGAACTCTCTGAGCTCGGAGGCACCTGGGATGGACCATCACACAGTGGAAACATGTACTGTGGTCAGATGATCAAGTAATTTCAATTGGTGAAGTCTTCCGCTATCACCACCGGCTTGCTCGGTGTTTGTATATAAAAATTTAACAATTAATTAATAAATCAAGAAATCAAGCTCAAAATCAGGATTCCAAAACATGTGAAATCGAACAGCTCTACATTTTACTAGTCGCTGGTAAAAATGCCAGAACTAATTTTGTTTTAATTTAAAAACACTCTACACACTAATACCCTGAATATGCATCTATTAGGTTGCTTTTAATTTCACATTTCATCTGCAGCAGCTGTTTTGAAGTACGCCAAAAATGTTATTGTAGAAATGAATGTTTAGTACCTGGTTTAGTCACTGCCTCAACCGGTTCTGTAGGATCTGATGCTTTTCCAACACCAGCCTTATTCTGAGCACGAACGCGGAAAACATACGACTCGCCCCCCTTCAGATCATTGACCTAGAACATTAAAGAGTAACAGCATTTAGGGATGTAGAAATAGCTCATACTTTATAATAACTACTAATGAACAGTTAATAGCTTAACAACATGCTGGTAGTTAATAAACCAGCAGTTAATAGCATGAATTGTGATCTAAACTAGAGTGTTATCCAAATTTTCAATGTCAGTTCTTTCCTGAATTTGAGTTTTTTTTTTTGAACACATGCTCAACCCTTATATGCAATAAATACATTCAAGCCGTATATGCACACAAACCTTGAAGAATGCCTTGTCGGTAGCTTTCTCGTTGACTCCTCTCCACATTTCAAAGTCAGCTTCGGCCTCCTTGATGTCAATGTAATATCCATTCACTGCGTCACGACCCTGGTAAACCGGAGGCTTCCAGAGCAGCACCAGAGAGTTTTTACGCACCTCCTGAACCTGGAGGTCATGTGGTGGTCCTGAACACAGGGATTCAGTTAGGTGTGGGACGTTTTGGAATCTGATTGTGACCCCCAGATAGTGTAGATCGTTAATTAATGAATAAATTTTAAACTTTCTCAGCAGTAGGAGAGGAAGAACTGTCTAAATTGGTAAACTCCTCCAAATCAACAACGTCTATACGTCTTTGAGTCTGTTTTTTCTCAAGGTTTTTTTATCCCTTTACTGTACTGTGCCAAAAGGAAGCCCTATGTTAACAGTGTCCAGGAGAACCAAAATATAACAATCGTTTTGAAATCAGATTGTGACCCCCAGAATTGGATCTGATTGTTGCCAAAGATTCCAACCCCTAATGACTAAAACATTAGCAAGTGTTCCTTGTCATTGCAACACAGCAGTAATGACTTTATGAATATCTACACATGCAGGATGGATGATATCAGAGATAAAATAAGCACCATCAGTCTGTCTCTTACAGTGTCATGCCAATTAGAGCACTGTAGATTGTTAATTAATGAATATATTTTAAACTTTCTCAGCAGTAGGAGAGGAAGAACTGTAAATTGGTGAACTCCTCCAAATCAACAACGTCTATACGTCTATGAGCCTGTTTTTTTCTCAAGGTTATTCTTCTTTACTGTAATGTGCCAAAAGGAAGCCCTATGTTAACAGTGTCCAGAAGAACCAAAATATAAGTTAAGAATTGTTTTGGAATCAGATAGTGACCCCCAGAATTGAAATTGGATCTGATTGTGAAGTTGCTAAAGATTCCCACCCCTAACTCCTATATATGTTGTGAGCGGTAGTAATTTCTGAAGGATTTGGCTTTGGGATGGCTTTGGCACACACCCCAGACTCCCAGGTAATAATGTTATTGTCTGCTCAATGTCATTGCAATGCAAATGTTTCCTAATGTAGATTTATTGATATTTTTCAAGTTGGTTTGTGCCTACCCGGTACAGCAATCGTCCACTCTTCACACTTGAATGTCTCACTGGGAAGAGACGGGATGCCCACACCGGCCATGTTGGCAGCTCGAACCTGGAACTGGTACAGCATGTTTTCCTTCAGCTCTGAAACCTAAAGACAAAGAAAAGGCTGGAGATTATTTTGCACTGATATTACCAAGTAGTTGACCAATATGATTCGTATGATGTACTTGGGACAACAACTTGTTATTACTTAAATTGTCCTACTCACTCTGTAGGCTCTCTCACTGATAGCCTTAATATTGGCCTCGTGCCATTTTCCCGGTACACCACCAGTGACTTCACGATAGTCAACAAAGTAACCAGTGATGTCGGCTCCGCCGATGAAAGTGGGTTGTTTCCAGGCCAGAACCATTGAATCCCGCACACATTCCAGCACAGAGATGCCATAGGGTGGAGCAGGTGAAGCTGGCATAATAAAACATTACAGTTAGCATTTACAGTAAAAGGACAGTATTGGTTGTCTTACTGTGAACCAGCGATTGTGAAGGTAAATATCAGGCTGGCACTGCAAGCCCAGGGAGAGTTTTGTATAGTAAGGAGGGTGTCCAGCATATTGCCAGTTGTGCCTGGTGGCGTAAAAGAAGCCAAAGAGAAACCCTGAATGCATTTGTGTAGATGGTGATGTTATTTGAGGGACTAAAAAAGTGTGCAGCTGAGAAGACTTACCATATATTCAAAAGACGTTCCATTAAAAAAAACAGGATAAACCAGCAATAAACCATTAGAAATTGGTTTTAGCTGAATTTTCCAGTGGGATTCACAGGGTTAAAGGCTCATTGCAAATATGTGATTCAGCCTGCATCTTTATGAAATCATAACACTGTACTTAATTATATGTTTTTCTGCAGTTTGTAGACCACCAGGGGCAGTATGACGTCACCAGCTTTTGTTACTAATCAAGGACATATTAGGACATATTACTAACAAATAAAGGATTATTTGTAGTCTTGAACACCTTGATTAATTGGATTAGGTGTGATTTTATAATGTTTAGAGCTAAACTATGCAGACCTGCGGCCCTCCAGGAATCGAGTTTGAGACCTATGGTCCCTAATCTGTTTATTACCAAGGACAGGACAATTTTGCCATGGCCCGGGGGCAAAGGTGGGGTGGAGGGTCTACAGATATTGGCGACCATCAACAGTATTCTCAGAGGATGACAAGCTGACAAAACATTGCTGCAACTCTGATACAAGTTTTACTTATGAAGAAAATTAAAGCACTGCAGTGTTTGGGTGTTCTGTGTTTGTCTGAGATAATTAGTCTACCGAAATGTGCTTAATCTATACAAGCTAAAGCTGATTGGTCAGTTCTTGTCAGGGGACACACGGTACGCTTGTGGCATTCTGAAAAATTTTGATGTTTTCAACTGGGGGCACCTGGAAGGCGTGAGCGAAACGCTCTTAATATGCGTGTACAAGTTTTTTTATCACCTTTGCAAAGAAACTTTCCAAAGACATTGTTTCTTACTCATTTTGCTAGCTTGTGGGTAAAACTTTGGTGCCGGTGACGGTGATTCAACCAAGAGAATACAATCATTTTTCAAAATAAAAGACTTTTTAAAATAAAAGATCCTTCAGACTCAGATAATAAATGAAACAGAAATACTTCGTGATTTCTTGTGCGGCCCGGGGGGTGGGGACCACTGCTCTAGTATATTTGTCATCCGAAACATACAACAAAATGTTGTGACCTATTTCCCATTTACAAATATGTATACAGCACCCTCTAGTGGTTTTGTCATCTGAAATGTACAACAAACGCACTCTAAATAATATATATTTGAGATTTGCAAAAATGTAGACAGCGCCTTCTAGTGGATTTGTTCGTTGAAGTGTAAAACGAAATGTACCCTGTGTAATGTATTTTACGTTTCGCAAAAATGTAGGCTGAGACACATTTCCAGTGAGCCTGTGCTGATTTTTGCAGTCTTACCTGTGAGGCCAAATATCGTATAACTGAGGCTATTAAAACAACTGCAATATGCTATTTTAATGAGAGAGGTCTAGTCCCCCCTTGTGGAAAAGAAGAGCACTTAATTAAACTAAATGAGCACTTAAAATTGATAAAGTATATTTGAAAACATTTTATTGCAGATAATTTATTAATGAAATAAATGGTAATAAAAGCCATGTGGTAATAGATAATGGTAATAAAAAAAGTGCACTTAAACAGAAATATATTCATGTTTTTATTATAAACTTTTAACACTTTTTTTTTTTAAGTGAGGAACCATTTACAGTATGGTAACTTGCATTGATATCATAACTTGAAAAAACCCCGGAAGGTTACTCTAGACTTTTATGACATATCGATTTTCTTATATATATATATTTGTTTTATAAATTTATTTTTTTTCAGTCATAAAACTCTTGCCCCAGAGTAACCTTCCAGTCTTTTTCCAATGGGTTTTTTTTAATCAGTGACTTATGAATGGTTAAAAGTGTACTTTGTAATTAACATTTAATCACATTTTAAATCACAGTTTTAATAACATTTTAATTGATCAGTTTTAAGTGCAGCATATTTAATAACACATTTAAATTGATTATTTACAACTTTTTTACAAGTGCATTATTTACAAATATGTTGTTGTAAATAAAAATGCAATAAAACATTTAACTTAAATTTGAATATTTCTGAAAAAATGTGATAATAAATATACATTAAAAGACAATTAGCAGGTGAAAAAGCATTCTAGTTAGTTCAGCTACACAAAAAAAAAAATTAATCTACCTAATATTAGATGAATCAACACAAGTCTTGAAGTTTTTTTGGGGGACAACTTGGGACAAATAGTTTTGTGTTCAATTCACCTAAACTTGTAAAACATTGAGTAAACTTAATCAATTTGTGTTGCGATAACATGAAGGAATTGTGAGGAACTGTATCCAATATAATATATGTATATATATATATATATATATATATATATATATATATATATATATATATATATATATATATATATATATATATAATCTTTTTTTTATATAATTGAGTGCAATTAGATTTTGTGTACACTTAAACTCTGTTTGATCAATGTACTTCTTTTCCACAAGGGTCAGCTTGGCAGATTCACAATAATGAGCAGATAAATGATGAATAAATGAACTGGAGTGTTCAAAACAAAGAGAGATGGAGACTCAAAACGGATTAAAAATGAATGGGAGAAGGGTCAAATGGAGTCAGGCCCACTCGATGACGTTTTCCTCTGTCTCCATCGTCTCACCTGATCCTCTTCGTCCTTTCTTTCGCTCTCCCGTTTTCTCTCGCTCCACTGAGGACTTACGAGTATCTGCCAATTCTGCCGCCGACTGCTTTCGGGTGCAGTCTGGCTTTAACAATGCATTGCTAGACTGTGCAACCTGTTTTATTGTGGTTTGGGTTTCTGGAGCTTGCTGACTGGCCCTCTTGTCCAGTTTGCCCTCATCTAATAACACCACTTGGCCAGTGTTTTGCCCCCCTCCCTCAACCCCGTGACTATCATCATCATTATTATTAGCGAGGCGTGTTAGATTTGTGCCAACAGGGGAGTGAGACGCCACATGCCTGTCCACTCCGCAAGCGATGTGCTGGGTTAGTGGAGCCCTGTTACCCCCCAAGTCCAGACACACACCATGAAGAACACCGCCCCCTACAGGAGTTAGCGGAGAAAGCAGACAGAAAAAACATTAAACAGTCACATTCAAATCATCATAATGAAGACTTCAGTCTACTCAATGTCATCTCAGTAGAGATGGATGTGCATGCACGAGAAAAATCCACTTCTTTATTATTATATGCTTTATTATATGTTTTTTATTATTATTATATTCAAGTACTAAAAAGAAGCAATAAAAAACAAGCAATGAATAAAATGAGTGAGGAGACATGAAAAAAGAAAAAACATGCATGGATCATTTTAGAAAGAGGATGTGGTTATTTAGCATATGAGATGAATGCATTATTTTGTGTTGAACTTTTGAGACACAACATCACACTACAGTGTAACATTAAAGGAGACCTATTATGCTCCTTTTTACAAGCCTCTGATGTCCCTATATTGTGTGTGTGTGTGTGTGTGTGTGTGTGTGTGTGTGTGTGTGTGTGTGTGTGTGTGTGTGTGTAAATGTTCTATAACTGTGTGAAACTGCTGCTTTTAGGCTTGGATCTAAATGTGCTGTTTTGTTGACTGTCGCTTTAAATTCAAATGAGATCCTGTTCTTTTCAAAAGAGGGCGGAGCTACAAATGCCTGTGTGTCTGTGTCAATATAGTGGCAGATTTAAAAACAAGACTAAGGTAAAGATGGTCACTAGTGGGCAGGGATTCCCCCTCTGATGGCTTCATACAAAGCGAGAATGTCAATCAAAGTGTTTCTGCAGACTGAATATGAAATATTGAACTGTGTGGAGCATGTTATAAATTTTATGGCATTGCATGGAATGTATACAGTTTTCTCATGGCAGCTAAAAATCTCTCTATCAATAACATATTACTTATACTTTTGTTTTATGCGCAATATGAATGTAATATATACAGGTATATTCAATAATAATCATAATAAATAATTTAAAAAATAATGTGTTACTATTGCAATATTGTAGTATATTAAGAATAATAATAATAATAATATAATAATAATAACAACAATAATATAATAATAATAATAATAATAACAGTAATAATAATAATAACACAATAATAATAGTAATAACAATAATAATATTAATAATAATAATAATAATGGTCACACTTTACAATAAGGTTTCGTTGGTTAATGTTGATTAATGTACTGTATTTCCTAACATGAACTATGAAGTATTTATTATTCTTAGTTCCGCATTTACTTATGCCTTATTAAAATCCAAATCCATGCTTGTTAACATTAGTAAATGCACCGTGAGTTAACGAACTAACAATGAACAACTGTATTAAACATGAACAAATACTGTGATAAACGTATTGTTGATTGTTTGTTCATGTTAGTAAATCCATAAACTAACACTAATACAACCCTATTGTAAAGTGCTATAATTGTAATGTAATTAACCATATTTACTAACATGAACTATTATGTATTATTTATTAATCATAATTCAACTTTTACTTATGCCTTATTAAAATCTAAATTCATGCGTATTAACATTAGTTCATAATAATAATAATAATAATAAAAATATTAATAATCATAATGTAATTACAAATATCACATATAACATTTCCTGCAGTTTGCATAGTTATATTTCATATTTCAAATTTGAAGAAATGAATGTATTACATATTTAAAGTAGTTGACTTTAACCAACTTTTGCAAATTAAAAAATTCTTAATTTACTACATTATTCATGTGCAATAAAACAAACAGTTCAATAATCAAAAACGTGCTCCTGAATTAACCACTTTGTAAACGCTTTGTGTCATATATATTGCATTGTGTTTTAATGTGCGAAAAATATACCCTGTTTTAATCAGTAAGCTGTGCACAATAACAGTGTGTTTCATAAAGGATACAAGTGAGCATTGTGAAGCTGCCGTTGTTAAAGTCAGACATGCAGAAGGGATGCAGAAGCCTGAGGGAGTGGGCTGGGGGGGGAGATCAAATAAACGGGAGAGCGGGTGAGCTGGTTTGTAGTCACCACTACGTTGGATCTGCTTTGACCCAAATTAGAGGTCTACAAGTCCTGACCCCTGGGAGAAATGCAGGAGTTTGGTGGTTGTGGCCTGGACACTTTAGGACGTGTGAAATGCGTAAGTCGGGAACAGTGGTCAGAATTAAAAGTGAAAGTTGGAGCTGTAGTGTAAAAAAAAAACAAGTTAATTAACAGGTTCGGTATTTTGTGATTCGCTGATTTTTCCTGTTTATTTATGGTTATGCATTGAATTATGGGCTCTTGATCTGACTTTTAGTTAGTTAGTTAAGTAGTCTACATAGCACATTTTTTACAACACGTTGGCCAAAGTGCTGAACACAATCAAATACTAATTAAAATAGGTCCTACATCACATACGTTACAATTAAAACATAAGGCAAGTTTTGGGGCAATAACTGCAAAAGCCTGATCGCCACTTCACTTACACCGGGACCTTGGTACAGAAAGAATAAACTGATCAGAAGACCTTAGTGACCTACCAGGACTATATACACGTAGGAGGTCTGATAAGTAAGGTGGTGCCAGATCATTTAAAGATTTAAAAACAAAGATTAATCGTTTAAAATCAATCCGTGACCTAACAGGCAGCCAGCCGGAAAGAACTGGAAATATGTGCTCATACTTGCGAGTCCCTGTCAGAAGTCTCGGAGCTGCATTTTGTACTAATTCCAATCTATTCAGGGCATTTTAACAAATACCCACATATGGAGAACTGCAATAGTCATGTCTTCCTAAAATAAAAGCCTGGATCACCTTCTCAAGGTCATTAAAAGAGAGAAACGACTTCACTTTTGTCGTTCTGCATTTAACAAATGAATTTACTTGTTTGTTAAATTTCAGATCACTATCGAAATGAAACCCAAGCTTTCTAACAACAGGTTTTTGATGAGTTGAAAGCTCACTAATACCTAATAATCCCAGAGGGGCAGGATCCCCAAACCAGATCAGCACAGTATTTTCCTCATTGAAATGTAAAAAATTTGACGACAGCCAGGTCTTAACCTCGATTAGATAAGGGAGTCCAGGCCATTTTTATCATTATTTTTAAGAGGGACATAAATCTGAGAGTTGTCAGCGCAAAAATAATAAGCCACCCCATATTTATGAAAAATAGTTCCTAAAGGTAAAATACAGTTGAAGTCAGAATTATTCACCCCCCTTTGAATTGTTTTCTCTTTTTTAAATATTTCCCAAATGATGTTTCACAGGGCAAGGAAATTTTCACAGTATGTCTGATAATATTTTTTCTTCTGGAGAAAGTCTTATTTGTTTTATTTCGGCTAGAATAAAAGCAGTTTTTAATTTTTTAAACACCATTTTAAGGACAATATTATTAGCCCCTTTGGGCTATTTTTTTTTCCGATAGTCTACAGAACAAACCATCGTTATACAATAACTTGCCTAATTAGCCTAACCTGCCTAGTTAACCTAATTAACTTAGTTAAGCCTTTAAATGTAACTTTAAGCTGTATAGAAGTGTCTTGAATAATATCTAGTCAAATATTATTTACTGTCATCATGGCAAAGATAAAATAATTCTGTTATTAGAAATGGGTTATTAAAACTATTATAATTAGAAATGTGTTGAAAATATCTGCTCTCTGTTAAACAGAAAATGGGGAAGAAATAAACACGAGGGCTAATAATTCATGGGGGGCTAATAATTCTGACATCAAGCCGGGCTATATAGCACTGCAAACTATTAAAATGTCAATAAAAGTCACTTTTTTCCCAACTTTTCAAGGTTAAAAGTTGTTGCAAGAAAGATCAAGGCCGATAATGCAATTCAAAATCATAAATAAACAAGGAAAAATAAAAACATGAATCACAAAATATGGAAAACTGCTAATTTACAGATATAATGAACATATTCTAGTAATTGAATCTACGCAATGTTCACGAGGACTCACCGATAGCAGCTTTAACTACAATTGCTTCAGATTCCTGTGAGAATTCACTGATTCCTGCTGCATTGACCGCTCTTACTCTGAAAACATAGCTCTCGCCTGTGGTCAAGCCATGGCAGATAAACCTGCGTGAAAATATAAGGACAGATATTAATATATAACAACATACTATAAGTAGGGGATAATGTACATCCAGCCGGTTGTTCTCGCAGAATAAAGCCTTGTGAGCTGTTGTAAAAGACTGAAGGGCTGGATGAAATATCTGTCAGCATCTGTCATCTAAAATACATAACCATATAATAAATAAACCATATAAAATACATAATGTATTGCGTCTGCATCAGCAAACTATAAATATTATTGTAATCCAACACTCAATTTTTACAGGTAATGAAAAAGCATATCAGGTTTCATTCATTCATTTTCCTTCAGCTTAGTCCCTTTTTTTATAGGTTACCACAGTGGAATGAACCACCAAGTATTCCAACATATGTTTTACACAATCGATGCCCTTTCAGCTGCAACCCGGTACTGGGAGACACCCATACACTCTCGCATTCACACACTCATACGGCCAATTTAAGTCATTCAATTCCCCTACAGTGCATGTGTTTGCACCCCGAGGAAACCAACGCCAACACGGGGAGAACACGCAAACTCCACACAGAAATGGCAATTGGTCCAGCTGGGACTCGAACTAGTGACCTTCTTGCTGTGAGGCGACAGCGCTAACCACTGAGCCACGGTGATGCATTGATTTATAGTACATTCATGTGTTATTTTTAAATACCTTGTGGCTTTAACTGGTTTGTTGTTGCATGGCTCCCAAGTATTGCTCCCTGCGATGCTGCTCTCGATGTAGTAGCCCACCAGCTCTTTAGCGTCACGAGACGCTTCCCATGAAATCACCACAGATGTGTCTGTATTGCGGGTCGGCACCACGCGTCCAGGGGCTGATGGGATATCTGGAGGCAGGTAACAGAACAGCTATTACACTATTAGCCACTATGCTACTGTAGAATTTGTATCGTATTTATGCTGAACCAGTCTTTATCTGGATGCTGCAATGACTTTTCTTATGCAATATAATAGGAACAAAAGTCAGGGTACATAATAAGTGATATTAGCAAATGGCTAGCAGTCTCTAGCATGAATTATCATGTTGCTAGCATGTTTATAACATGTTTTAACAGAGTTCTAGCATTAATTAGCATGGGTCATTTGCTTTTGAGTGTTGATAGCACGTTTTAGCACATTATTAGCATGAATTAGCATTGGTAATTTTGTTTTTGTGTGAAGATAGCATGTTTTAGCACATTATTAGCATTAATTAGCATGATGTTGACATTTTAAAACATTTCTGCTGCATGTTTAGCACATTGCTGTCATGACAACATTTTGTTAGCATTTGCATCTAATATTTTATGATATGGCTAACATGGATAACCTGAATTAACATGTTTAGCATGGGTGGTAACATCGACTAACATTTAGCTAATACAAAATCACATACAAAAGCATGGCTAAATTTTTAACATGATGCTTCATTTCATGTTGCATTTTAGCACAAATTAGCATGGTGCTAACACATTTTAAAACATTGCTGCTGTGTAACTAGTACATGCCTAGTACACATTGCTAACATTAATAAGCATAGGTCTAGCTCATTTATACCAAGTTTAAGCATATTGGTTGTATGAATTAGCTTTTTATTAGCACGTTTCCAGCATGTTTAGCACATATTAAAGCATGTAGCAGCCCTACTTTGATCACATGGCTCACACGTTTTAATGTTGCTAACATTAATAAACATGTTGCTAGCCTGTTTGTAGGATGTTTTACCATATGGCCAAAATGTGTTAGCACATTGCTAACATTTATAAGCCTAGGTGTAGCTCTTTTCTACCAAGTTTAAGCATATTGGTTGTATGAATTAGCTTTTTATAAGCATGTTTCCAGCATGTTTAACCTGTTCTAATATGTAGCAGCCCAAGTTTGATCACATGACTTACATGTTTTGACATGTTGCTAACATAAATAAACATGTTGCTAGCCTGTTTATAGGATGTTTTACCGCATAGCCAAATAGTTTTAGCACATTGCTAATATTAATAAGCGTAGGTCTAGCTCATTTCTACCAAGTTTTAGCATATTGATTGTATAAATTAGCTTTTTATTAGCATGTTTCCAGCATGTTTAGCACATATTTTATCAATTAGCAGCCCTAGATTTATCACGTCTTACATGTGGTAACATGTTGCTAACAAAAATCAACATGTTGCTAGCCTGTTTGCAGGATGTTTTTAGCACATGGCCAAAATGTTTTAACACATCGCTAACATTAATAAGTACGGGTCTAGCTCATTTCTACCAAGTTTTACCATTTTGAATGTTACGTACTAGCTTTTTATTAGCACATATTCTAGCATGTAGCAGCCCTAGTTTTATTACATGGCTTACATGTTTTAACATGTTGCTAACATAAATAAACATGTTGCAAGCCTGTTTGTAGGAAGTTTTACGACATGGCCAAATTGTTTTAGCACATTGCTAACATTAATAAGTGTAGGTCTAGCCCATTTCTAGAAAGTTTTAGCATATTAAATTTATGAGTTAGCTTTTCATTAACACGTTTCCAGCATGTTTACCCCATTCAAGCGAGTAGCAGCCCTAGTTTTATCACATGGCTTACGTTTTAACGTGTTGCTAGCAGAGCCAGAGCAAGCTGAACTGGCCGACCAAGGTCGCCTCTATGGACACCCCGGCCCCGGTTGCTAGCATTAATAAACATGGGTCTAGCCCATATCTACCAAGTTTTAGCACATTGGCAGTGTGAATTAGCTTTTTATTAGCACATTTCCAGCATGTTTACCACACATTCTAGCATGTTGATGTTATAAATTGGCTAAATCTCGCCAACGTAAATCATCAAATGAGCTCTTCATGACAGAATCATACCCAATTTGTCTCCAACCGTTGTGGCGTCAGTGGGTTCTGATGGTTCTCCAACACCAGCAGAGTTGCAGCAGCGAACTCTGAAGCGGTAAGATTTGCCCTCGGCCAGATCAAAGAGAGCAAATCGTGGAGATTTCACTGGGATTTCAGTGTTCACTCGCTGCCAGCTGTCTGTGCCTGACACACACTACACAAACACACACACGCTTATCAAGACAAATTACCAGTAATGAGTTACTAATTACAGCAGTTACCCATCTGAAAAAAATAATACAGTAACTTATAGTAAGAGCTATAGTCTGAAGGTGGACTTTTCTGCTGAATCATCTGTTGAACTGCATCCCAATCACCACAAATACTGCAGAAGACCTACTGGAGCCCGCAAGGAGCCAAGATTCTCAAAGAAATCAGTCAAGTTTGGTGAAGGAAAAATCCTGGTTTGGGGTCACATTCAGTATGGGGGCGTGCGAGAGATCTGCAGAGTGGATGATCAACATCAACAGCCTGAGGTATCAAGACATTTGTGCTGCCCATTACATTACAAACCACAGCAGAGGGACAAGGACAATTATCCAGCAGGAAAGCACTCCTCATACAGGATTGGCCAGCCCAGTCACCAGACATAAACATTATTGAGCATGTCTGGGGTAAGATGAAGAAGGAGTCATTGAAGATGAACACAAAGAGTCTTGATGAGCTCTGGGAGTCCTGCAGGAACGCTTTCTTTGCCATTCCAGATGACTTTATTAATCAGTGATTTGAGTCATGTCAGAGATGTATGGATGCAGTCCTCCAAGCTCATGATGGAGTCAGACACAATATTCATTCTGTCTCCACTGCAGCAGGACTTTATATTCTATACTGGACATTATTTCTGTTCAGTGATGAGACTTTAGTCTAAGCAGAGTCAGACCTTACTGTCCTAATGAAATCAGTCAACATCAAGGCATGATCAGATTTTATTGTGCTCAAATAAGCGTCATCTAGAGGCCTTTGCCTTTCATATCAGCCACTTCTGATATCGAATGATCAACTAGAAGTCAACTTATTTGTTGTTCCTAAATCTTGGGTAGGCTACAAGACTTGTTAGGTAGTGTATATATATTTTATATATGTATATGTCATGATGAATTGAGTTTTGTCGTCTGACCTTCTCCACATAATACATGACTCCTTCATGTCCTTTTTCACCCGGCGGCTTCCAGCTCAACACCACATAGTTTTTGGTGGCTTCAATGACTGAGAGTTCTTGAGGTCTGCCAGGAACCACTCCCTCTGAATGAAACCAAGCACATCATTGGATATTAAAGCGATTGTTTCCTATGGATTTATTAATCATTATTACTGTTCAATGAATGCAAACTGTTGTAGTTTATTAAAAATGCAAACCCCTGCACATCAGCTGCACCTTCAGCAAACCTCCTAATTCCTGCAGCACGAGGACTTTATGATTGTTTATGAGCATCAAAAGTGACGGATCTGTTCGGCTAAATATCTGACTGCGTGTCACTGCATCCCAAACTACTAAAACAATATAACAATATAAAGAAATCTCCTCTGTGCTGAGCGAGAGAGCTTACTAAACTGAACAGCGCATCATCAATGATGTAAGCGTGCTCAAACCCGAATGCAATGTAAGTGCGGGCCGTCGGGGGAGACGGGAGGGGAGACAAGCGTGCTTCGGCCTGGTTCAAGGCTACTATACATAGTGTGAGTACGCCCTGAGTGTATGGGTGCTTCCCAGGGATGGATTGCAGCAGGAAGGGCATCTGCTGCGTAAAACATATGCTGGAAAAGTTGGTGGTTCATTCCGCTGTGGTGACCCCTGATTATTAAAGAGACTAACGCCCCATTCACACAGGGCTTCCGCGTCAACGCTTGACTGAAGGTGTGTCTGAAGTTGGGGCTGTAGGGATCGTCATAGAAGCGTCAGCCAATGAAATTCAGTCAGCAATAGGCCACTGTCTAGCTGGTGTATTTAAATACAGCGATCTGATTGGCTGGCGCTTCCGTCGGCACTTGAAAAGTTGAGCTAGTCCCAACTTCTGCAGCGAGCAACGCCTCTGAAGCGGCGCCGACGGATCCACAATGCAGTTCGGCAATGCCTGACGTCACCCATTCAAAGTGAATGGGAAGAGTTGACGCTGACACCCCGTGTGAATGCAGCGTACGCCGAAAATAAAATGAATGAGTGAATATCTATGAAGTCTATCTGAATGTCTTACCCACAGGCTCCTCCTCGGTTACAATTATTTGTCCAGTCCAAGGAGCAGAAGCACCTAAAGAAACAAAATGTACATTAAAACACTTGTAACTAATTATATTTTTGTACATTTGCTGTGTTAATATGTTCACCTTTTCTGGAGCGATCTGCGGGATCCATAGCAGCTACAGGTTCAGATACACGCGAGGGGTGGCTCATTCCCGCTTTATTAACCGCGCGCACACGAAATGTGTAGCTCCGTCCTTCAATCAGACCAGTGACGGGGAAACGTGCAAACTTGACCGGGGTGTCGTTACATTGAGCCCAGTGTGTGGTGCCGACCTCACACCTGCAGAAATAAACATTTACTCAAACGCACATTAAAACATGGAGAGTTCCCGTGCTTGATTCTGATTGGTTTAAAACTTTCCAACATCAGTAATGAGCCAAAAAAAAAAGGTTTATTTTGAAATGTAGTATTCAACATTTGAAGTGGGTTGTAATAAATTAACTAAATATGCATGTGTGCATACATACATCCATACATACATACATACATACTTACATACATAAATACATAGTTGCGCCTGTAGCCGTAAGGCTGTATGCACTGTGCGTACCTCCCATGAGAGAGCGGGAATTAATGCCGCTTTTTATTGATTTATTTATTTGTGACATAATTTAAATTGATTATTAAACAGTATACACTACAGCTGCCTGCTTTTCCACTATCGTTCTGAGAACACTTGGGTATGGTTCCGGTTGTTTCTCCACTGAGAACTCCGGGATAAAACTTAACCAACAGCTACATGCACTGCAGACTTTTTTTTTTCTGCTGTGCATCGAATTAAGACACGCTTAACATCATTGATGCTCACAATCCTATAGCTACATACTATATCCATGAAACACGAACTTGCAGACTCTTTGAACAACGAGGAAACAACTGCACTTCAGTTAAGCCAGACGTCTTGTTTTGTAATTTAATGCCGGCTATACCACCCAAAGGACGGTTACGGCGTGTTGAGATGTCTCAACACTCAAGACTTCTGGTAGTACCTAGAATAGGAAAGTCCACTAAAGGAGGTCGAGCCTTCTCATTTATGGCTCCTAAACTCTGGAATAGCCTTCCTGATAACGTCCGAGGCTCAGACACACTCTCGCAGTTTAAAACTAGATTAAAGACCTTTCTTTTTAGTAAAGCATACACTCAGTGCAGCACTTAGCGGTATGATGCATGAATGTGCTGACACTGATTCACTATAATCTTCTATGTGAAGCTGATAGATTGTAAAAGCGCTAGAGAAATAAAGGTGAATTGAATTGAATTCTGGAGAAAGTCTTATTTGTTTTATTTCGGCTAGAATAAAAGCCATTATTGTTTTTTTTTAAACCATTTTAAGATCAATATTATTATTTATGTTATTATATTATCTACAAAATTATTATTTATATATGAATATTATTAGCCCCCTTAAGCAATATTACTGACTACTGTATGTATACTTTGTCACAATATCTTCAAACATGCGAGAACTAATGTGTACATGTGTACATGAATATGTTGATGAAACAATATTTCACTCATATTTTTATATTCTAATTTTACAAAGCATAGAAGTGGAACATTTTCAGCTGGATTTTCCAGTTATATCTGATGTTTATAAACACAATATGACCATGTTTAAGACGGGGCTTAAGCGTCAACGCTTGACTAAAGGCGTGTCTGAAGTTGGAGCTAAAGCGATCATCATAGCAGCGTCAGCCAATGAAATTCAATCAGCAATAGGCCACTGTCTGAGCTAGTGTATTTGCATACCTCGATCTGATTGGCTGACGCTTCCGTTGGTGCTTGAAAAGTTGAGCTGGTCCCAACTTCTCCAGCGAGCAACGCCTCTGAAGCGGCGCCGACGGATCCACAATGCAGTTCGGCAACGCCTGACAACACCCATTCAACGTGAATGGGAAGCGTTGACGCTGACGCCCCGTGTGAATGGGACGTTAGAGGCTTTGTATGATTGAAGGTGTAGTGTGTTTAGTGAGTTTGCAGTGACTGACCTGTCAACAAAGTAGCCCAGAATGGCACTCCCACCATCGACTGCAGGCTGTTTCCAGGCCACAATGACATAATCCTTATTAGCATCCAGACAGTGAACATCTAATGGAGCGCCAGGAGCGCCGGCAACATCAGCATCAGCATCTAAACATAGACATCAATACAACACAAAACAGTATGAACACACAACAAGCAGCCATTAAAAATTCTGCCTTGTTGTAACCCAATATTGGGTCAAATATGGACAAACCACACCCTTTTTTTCCCAACATTGGGTTAGGACAACCCAAATTTAAATTTATATATATTTAATTAAATTATCTAAAAATGTTCCCCATAGATGGGTTGTAGCTGGAAGGGCATCTGCTGCGTAAACATATGCTGGATAAGTTGGCGGTTCATTCCGCTGTGGCGACCCCAGATTAATAAAGGGACTAAGCTGAAAAGAAAATGAATGAATGAATGATTTAAAAATGAAATTAATCATCCTTTTATTAAATTTCACAATTACTATTGTTGTTGCATCGTCATAATTATTATTATTATTACCTTTATTATAATTGATATTACTGTTGGCATCATCACACAATACTACTTTTATCATCACTAACTTTATTATTATTATTATTATTGTAGCTGTTTTTATTGTGATTATGTCTGCTAATTGCTATTAAATATCATATCATATTATTCTGATTTGAGTCTTTGCTGTTTATATGCATTCCTATTATTTCCATTTCTGTTTATGTGTTCAGTCTTTACCATATTATACAGTATGTCAGTGATTATATCCAGCCTTTAATGGTAAAAGCTAATTAATTCTATTGTTTATTATCACACTTGATAAAATCAGTCAGCAGCGACACTTTGATTGACATTCTCTCTTTGTACGTGTCATCAGAGGAGGAAAGCCCCGCCCACAAGTGACCATCTCTCCCTCATTAGCATAGGAAGTTGGTCTTGTTTTTGATTCTGCCACTATGCTGACACTATGGCATTTGTAGCTGTGTCCCCTTTTGAAAAGAGCACAATCCCATTTGCATTTAAAGCAACAGTAACCAAAACGCCACAATTAGGATCAGATCCTAAAAGGGTCAGTTTCAGAGAGTTATAAAACATAATCTGTGTGGTATTTTGAGCTGAAACTTCACGTACACACTCGAGAGACATCAGACTTATTTTACATCTTGTAAAAGCCAACAGGTTTACAGTCAACTAATTGCTTTTTACAGTGAAGTTATTTGTTGATTAAAATCTACACGCAACTGCAGATTTAAAGTTGACACTAGGGAGTGTTGAACGCTTCAGGCGGTCTCACAGATTCCTCATCTGAATGTCCTGACAGCACAGACACGGGACGGCAGCGATAAAATTAGCCTGAAACATGAGCGACTCTGAGAGACATGCTAAACTCACAGAGTGCAAGCCAAGAGAGTTTGTCCAACACTTTTTTACCTTGTAAAACAATTACCACTTCACTGTAAATACAATATTTATTTGGAATCATTTAGAATTTTTAGACCAACAGAACAACCACAGAAACAACACTTTTAAAGACAGACCTGCAAGATATTAAAGAAAGAATGGTATACAAAATCTAAAATACAAACATTGTTTTGAACACCAAACAAGATGTTCTGAAGAATGTTGGGGGGAAAAGCAGGCAATGACATCCATAGTAAAAAAAAAAAATACTATGAAGGTCGATGACAATTTTTTCTCAATATTCTTCATAATTTCCTTCGACTTCCCTTATTTATCAGAGGTCGCCAGAGCGGAATGAACCGCCAACTTATCCATCATATATTTTACGCAGCGGATCCCCTTCCAGCCACAACCCAGAACTCATCCACACTCATTCACACACACACTCGTACACTATACGGCCAATTTAGTTTAGTCTATTCCCCTTAAGCGCATGTGTTTAGACTGTAGGGGAAACCGGAGCACCGCAAACTCCATGCAACCTCCACACAGAAATGGCAACTGACACAGCTTGGGTTCGACCCAGCGACCTTCTTGCTTTGAGGTGACAATGCTAACCACTGAGCTATCGTGCTGCCCCTTGTTTAGCTTGAACACACAGTGTATTGCCGCTCACCTCTGACGAACACATACGCAGAGTGAGACTGGAAGCCAGATTTGGTGATGACGCGCAGTGTGTAAAGACCCTCGTCCTCCTTGTTGAGGTGTGTGAGGGTCAGTGTCGCTCTGTCGCCGCTCCAGTGCATCTGAACCCACTTCGACGGCACCAGCAGCTTATCTGAAAAACACACACACTTAAATTAGTTTTCACTATAGGTTTAATAGCATTTTTTTGGTGCTGGAGCTACTACAGTATGCTACTTATTGATTGATTGATTTAGTTGGTGTATTGATTGATTGATTGATTGATTGATTGATTGATTGATTGATTGATTGATTGATTGATTGATTGATTGATTGATTGATTCATTCAATCATTCATTCATTCATTCATTCATTCATTTATTTGGTTGGATGATTGCCTGATTGGTTGGTTGGTTGATTGACCGATTAATTAATTGATTGATTGATAGATTGAATAGTTGACTGATTAATTGATTCATTGAGTGACTGACTGACCTGTTGTGTGATCGAATTATTCATTGACTGACTGACCGATTGGTTGGTTGGTTACTTTATTGATTGATTGATTTAACGGTTGGTAGGTTGATTGACTGATTAATTGTTTGGTTGATTGATTGATTATTTGATTTTTAATTGATTGATTAAATAACTGATTTAGTTGGTTGATTGATGCATTGGCTGATTGATTGGTTGATTCACTGACTGATTAACCGACTTGATTGATTCATTTGGTTGGATGATTGCCTGGTTGGCTGATTGATTGATTGATTGATTGATTGATTGATTGATTGATTGATTGATTGATTGATTGATTGATTGATTGATTGATTGATTGATTGATTGATTGATTCATTCATTCAATCATTCATTCATTCATTCATTCATTCATTTATTTGGTTGGATGATTGCCTGATTGGTTGGTTGGTTGATTGACCGATTAATTAATTGATTGATTGATAGATTGAATAGTTGACTGATTAATTGATTCATTGAGTGACTGACTGACCTGTTGTGTGATCGAATTATTCATTGACTGACTGACCGATTGGTTGGTTGGTTACTTTATTGATTGATTGATTTAACGGTTGGTAGGTTGATTGACTGATTAATTGTTTGGTTGATTGATTGATTATTTGATTTTTAATTGATTGATTAAATAACTGATTTAGTTGGTTGATTGATGCATTGGCTGATTGATTGGTTGATTCACTGACTGATTAACCGACTTGATTGATTCATTTGGTTGGATGATTGCCTGGTTGGCTGATTGATTGATTGATTGATTGATTGATTGATTGATTGATTGATTGATTGATTGATTAATTGATTGATTGATTGATTGATTGATTGATTGATTGATTGATTGATTGGTTGATTGATTGATTGATTGATTGATTGATTGATTGATTGATTGATTGATTGATTGATTGATTGATTGATGATAGACAGACAGACAGACAGACAGACAGACAGGCAGACAGGCAGACAGACAGACAGACAGACAGACAGGCAGACAGGCAGACAGACAGACAGACAGACAGACAGACTGATTGATCATGTGACAGACTGACCATCTCTGTACCACTCGATCTCTGGCTGGAAGCGCTGCAGTGAAGGATAAATGATGACAGAGCAGCCAAAACTCAACGTCTCTCCTTCACGTCCAAAAGCCACACCAAACTTCTCCACGATGTGCGTCTCGAACGTCACTCCATACTCCAGACAAGGTGCTGCACCACACACACACACACATACATGATTTATTGCATGAAAATAAAGCAGGCTGATGGGTGAACAGGACTCCAGGATTCACCTTGTGGAAAATTATGCACACATAAACACACATATAGCTCATATTGTACGATGTGTACAATAATTTAGTCCTCTACAAATGGCATGGAAAAGTTTTCATGTGATTATAATATTATAATTTTACATTAAGCACTGAAAGAAGACTGACAGCAGGCATAATTTCATAAAATACACATAAAGACACAAGCAGAGCGGCGCGGATGTTAGTGAGAATGGAAAGAAATTGTCATTAACGAATTGAGATGAAAAAAAGAAAAGAGGAAACAGAGACGCCCAATCCCAATTCCACCCCTTAGCCCTTCCTCTTAGCCATACGCCCTAAAACAAATTTGGTGATTTCCTAAAGATAAATAACAAAATATAGAGCAACTGGAATAACTACAGAAGTCGCTGTCATTGATCTCATATGAAGTAAGAGCTCACGAAGACATATGATGATTGATTGGCTGATTGCTTGGTTGATTGGTTGGTTTGTTGATTACTTGATTGACTAACTGACTGACTGATTGCTTGATTCATTGACTAAACGATTGATTTGCTGAAGGGTTGACTGATTGGTTGGTTGGTTGATTAATGAGTTGATTGTTTGATTTGTTGGTATATTGATTGATTGATTGATTGATTAACTGACTTGTTGATTGATTGATTGATTGATTGATTGATTGATTGATTGATTGATTCATTCATTCATTCATTCATTGATTCATTTTTTTATTGATTCATTCATTGACTAATTGATTCATTGACTGATTGGTTCAATGATTGATTGATTGTGTAAGGGTGTTCTAGTGCTGTTCCATTTCTTATGGGTAAATTTGAAGCCCTTTCCCTTCACACTCTTTTTCAAGGGCCAAGGGGAAGCGATAGGGTAAAATATAGAAATGGGATTGGGCCTTCAATTGCCATAAAAACAAATACATTTTTATATTTAAATACAACTCTTATAAGTTATATATTTTATTGAAAGTTCAGAAAAAGTTTGTGTTTTGATTAAATAATGTCAAAATCTTTTATGAAATGAACAGAGATAGAGAAGTAATACAATGAGAAGAGGCGATCATGCACTTTGGATGATCAGGGAAAACAGGAGAGACTAAAACACCAACAAGAAGATTACAGAAAAAACGTCACCACGATTACCTTGAAAGCCGAACTTTCTGCTTTCTGCGCCCAGTGAATTGGAAACAAAATAACCATTAGCCAGCCAGCCAGCATTAAACACTTTAGTCTCATGCTCATAGATTGACACACATCCGCAAAGCACATATGCGTACATTAACTGTGTAAAAACAACAAAGGGGTCAATTCTGAAATACTTACGCAGTCTGGGAGATGGCAGAGATTCATCAAACTCTCCTTTAAATCCTAAAAATCATACAAAAGACAAGAAAAAAAGGTTTTGTCCAATAATTAATAAAGGTGGTTTGCACTGAAGCGCCCACATTCCTAAAACTGATGCACAAGCATGCTAACACTGATACCATTTCTTAGCACATTGCTATTATCTTTCTATAATAACAATACTCTGTTAACATGTTTAAGCATGTTTTTCTAATTTTCACACAGTTAACATGTGTTAGCATGATATAACACTGCTAACATGCTATAGCATATTATTGTAATTTTCATGCATGTATCCAGCATTTATCACACTGACTAGCACATTGTCAGCAAGTTTCTAGCATGATTTAACACAACCTTAGTCTGTTTCTAGCATTTGTCCTACTAACTAGCACATGGTCAACACGTTTCTAGCGCGATTTAACACATTGCTAACATGTTTTATCTTTTTTTTTTAATGTTTACAGCATGTTTTTAGCATTTATCACACTGACTAGCACATTGTCAGCATGTTTCTAGCATAATTTAACACAATGCTAGCCTGTTTCTGGGATTCATCACACTCACTAGCACTGTCAGCACGTTTCTAGCATGATTTAACAAATCGCTAGCATGTTTTATCTTTTTTCTAAATGTTTACAGCATGTTTTTTTAGCATTAATGATACTGACTAGCATTGTCAGCACATTTGTAGCACGATTTAACATATTACTAGCATTTTTTATCTTTTTTCTAAATGTTTACAGCATGTTTTAGCATTTATCACACTGACTAGCATTGTCAGCAAGTTTCTAATGCGATTTAACATATTGCTCGCATGTTTTATATTTTTTTTTTAAATTTTACAGCATGTTTTTAGCATTTATCACACTGACTAGCACATTGTCAGCATGTTTCTAGCATAATTTAACACAATGCTAGCCTGTTTGATTCATTCTAACATGATTTAACACATTGCTAGCATTGTATTGTCATATTCCATCAAATTTACAACATTTATGACATCTAGCACATTTTTACATGGGTATAGCACGATTTAAGCATTGCTAGGATGTTATAATGTTGCTAGCCTGTTTTAGCATTTTTCAAAATGTTTACAGCATGTTTCTAATATATATCAAACTGACTAGCACATTATTAGCATGTTTTTGCTGCATGATTTTACACACTTCTGGCTTTTGATTGTCATATCCCAGCATATGTCTAGCATTCATCACACTCACTAGCACATTGCTAGCATATTTCTAGCATGATTTAACACACTGTAACATTTCTTAGCATATTACTGCCGTTGTTAAGCGTGTTTCTAGCATTTAGCATTAATCAGCACATTTTGGCATGATTTAACACACTATTAGCGTTTCCTAGCATGTTATTGTCATTTTTGAGCATGTTTCAGCATTTATCCTACTCAACTGCACAATGTTAGAACATTTCTAGCATGATTTAACTCTGTTAGCATTTTTTAGCATGTTATTGTGATCATCCACATCGTAGCAAATTGTTTGTAAATGCATTCATGGCATGATTTAACACACTGCTAACATGATTTGACGTTTCCTAAATCATGTTTCTAGCATAGTTTACCACTTACACACTTATTGTTTAGCATGTTGCTAGCATATTGCTAACTTATTTTAGCACAATCTACCACTTTCTAACATGTTTTAGCATGTTTTGGCGCAATGTCTCAGAGTTTAATGCTTTCAGGCTACTAGAGGGATGTTAGGATGTTTTATTTTACACTTACTTTTGACGACAACAGACGCATAAGCCGAGTTCTCGCCTTTGCTGTTCATGGCAGACACTCGATACTGTGCCGTGTCATCAAAATCACATCTGAAATTACAAACAGACATATTAAACACACCAAAGCACATCTGGACCCTTATTCACAAAGCATCTTAACCCAGCTAACAAATTTAGGTTCTATAAACGTTCCCTTAATGTTGGTATTAAGTTCAATATTTTTTTTAATGTTAAGAAATATCCAATGTTTAAAATGTTTTTAAATTATGTATTTCATTATTTTTTTCTTGGAATATTGTTATATAAATTTGAATTATTTAAGATTATAATGTATCAGTCTCTGAACATTATAATGTTATTAGAGCGTTGGATTCAATCATTCATTCATTCATTTTCTTTTCGGCTTAGTCCATTTATCAATCAGGGGTGCCATAGCAGAATGAACCGCCAACTTATACAGCATATGTTTTACCCAGCGGATGCCCTTCCAGCCACAACCCATTACTGGGAAACACACACATTCACACACATACACTATGGACAATTTAGCTTACCCAATTCACCTGTACCACATGTCTTTGGACTTGTGGGGGAAACTGGAGCACCCGAAGGAAACCCACACCAACACAGAGACATGCAAACTCCACACAGAAATGCCAACAGACCCAGTCGAGGCTCGAACCAGCAACCCTCTAGCTGTGAGGCGATTGTGCTACCCACTACACCACCATGACGCCTAGTCTAGTCATCTATGACTATGACTAATATTTGCTGTAATTCTATAATACTGGACTTTTTTTTCTATGAAGGTTTGAACTTTGAGAGTGTTTAAACAAGAGAGAAAAGTGTGAAAATGTTAATGCCTGTCTGACAAAATTGTATGAAGTGTAAGCGGTTTAACAGCCTTAAAACATCTAGAATAATCATAAAAAATAAAGCCGACTACTTCGCGAATTTCACCAATTGTGGGTTATTTTTAAGAAAGTAAAAAAGTTTCTGTCAATAACGTTTAGTCATATATAGTTCTATTTATTTTCTACAGAATGAGCCAGATTCACCAAAGCCCCCTGAAGTGAAAACGTGAGATGAGGTAGCAGTTTTTATACTTATGTAGACAATAATAATCTTTTACATTTTGTCATATGTAAAAATGTTTCCCAGTGCTAGGTTGCAGCATGGAAGGGCATCCGCTGTGTAAAATATATGCTGGATAAGTTGGCGGTTCATTCCGCTGTGGCGACCCCTGATAAATAAAAAAATTTAAGCAAAAAAAAAAATTAATCATATAGAATAAATACTATATACACTATAGTATATTACTATATACTCTATCAGTATTACTAACACACCCTTTAAAGAACAAAATAAACTGTGCAATTGACTTTAGAGCAGCTTTTAGTTGGTTAATGGTGCAGTTTAGCTCAGTTGCTTTAAAATGTGCTGTATCACAGCTTCTTTCCCGACCAAAAATGAGCACAAATTAATTTGCTATTTAAACAACATGGCACAGGACGAGAGAATGATACATGCACCTGGTGAAAAAAAAATTGCACCGGATGTACGGTAGGGCCCGTCCAACACAATCTCATGGCAATTCGTAATTTTTTTGAATTAGTAACTAATTGTGTGAATTCATACAGTCTTATTCATACAACTACAATTAGTATGATATGCTCATCCCACAATGATGGTTGGGTTGGTTTAGGGCCGGGGTTGGGTGCCAAACCTCCTTTTTAAAACCGTACAAATTAGCCACTGAAAACTGACTTAATGTAAAAATAGTTTCCTCGTGAGATTAGGCTGGCAAAACATGTTTGGTAAATACTGAAGTTCACATGCGTCACCTGTTGATCTCCAGCGAGTGCACATTGTAGCTGCTCTCCACTTTGTACTTCCCTGGATTGGACATGGGATCAATGCTGACATTGTTCTTGTACCTGAAGCAGAGAGTAACGAATTAAAATACAGCAGGATAATATAGTATGATTTTTAATGCTGCAGCCTAAATCTACTATTACGAGGCATCATGATCCACATCCAAATAAAACACTGATAGAAAATGGCATAAAAAAAGTTTTAAACTATTTTTAATTAACAAACTGCTAAATTTCACAAATAATTTAAATGAAAATGAAAGGAAAGCTCTTTAAAAGCTTTAAACTGTATTTTTAAATCATTTTGAAATAAAAAGACTGAAGTTAGTGTTAGAGTGTTGGTTAGTGTTAGTTACATGTAATTATGCATAATTCATTGTAATTATTATAGTAAGTGCATGTCACGTATAACTATAATTCCTTGAATTAAAGTGTTACCAAATTCAGAAAAAAATCTTTAATCTGCTGAACACAAAAGAAGATATTTTGAAGAATGTTGGCTGCTGGCACTTTGTTTCCTACTGTGGATTGAGAGTGCCAGCAACCAGCATTCTTCAAAATATCTTCTTTCGTGTTCAGCAGAAGAAAGAAACTCCTAAAGGTCCTATGGATGTTTGTAGATGTTGGTATGAGTATTGTTAATTTCTAGGATATTTATAAGCTAGTGACAAATATATATTTATAACCAAAACAGTGACAAAATTCACATTTAGGAGATATAAAACAGAAATAAACATGTAACGCTTGTAGTTTGTCACTTCCACCTAAATGGATCAATTGTTTTTTTCACCTCATACTTCAGTTTATCATCAAATCTTCTGATGAATCAAATGCTTTCTAGTATCTGACATGCCCCCGCCATCTTCAAGATGCTTTTCACTTGATGCGGTTGAGCTCAACCACTCTCACTAGCAGAGCGGTGCTAAAACGAAACACTATTGGCTATTTTTGGGGGGAGGAGCTAAACTATGTCCCGCCCTCTTTCATGTGTCATTTAACATGAGGGAAAATAAATGATGGGGTCATTTTCATTTTTAGGTGAACTCTCCCTTTAACTAGATCAATATTTATGGGAGGGGGTCTAAGCAATTGTTTATTGTAGCTCACTCACCAGACGACGCGCGGGTCGGGCCATCCTGAGATGGTGCAGTGGAGCCGCACACACTGTTTCTCCCACACAGTGTGTGAGCGCGGCTTGATCACGAACTCGGGTGTGTGCATCAGGCTGTCCTCGTTCTGACGTTTGTGGTACTCTTCGTTCTCATGGATCTGAGGACAGCGGACAGTTGAAAACAAAATTATTAACGCTCTTGCAAACTTTCAAAACAAAATCTACTATTGTAGTTTTTCTTTTGGAGAAAGTCTTATTTCTTTTAGTTTTGCTGGAATAAATAAAAATTGTCCAAAAAATTGGACATGGGATCAATGCTGACATTGTTCTTGTACCTGAAACAGAGAGTAATGAATTAAAGCAGGATGATATAGTGGATGTTTGAGGCTGCAGCCTAAATCTCAACCCTGGCTTATTATTAATACGTACCCTGTATAGATTTTTGGAGAGCACGAAATACGTTCCAGGAGGTTCGTTTTTTTACCGTTTTGGTTTTTACGAATCCACCAGAGGTCACTGTGTACGCTTTTACAGATCTCAAATTTCTCTCGCAGATGCCATTCGCGCCTGCTCTTCTCGCATAAATCCACCAGAGGCCGCTGTTGACTGACTGACTGACCGACTGACCGACTGCTCCCCCCACCAACCTCCTTCCCTAAACCTCATAGTTTTCAAAAGCACTTACTGACCAGCTCCCACCACCTTCCCTAACAGTGTTTTAAAAAGTAATCCAGAAAAAGAAAAGCCCTCGCGGCCGCCTGATTTTTCCCATGTTTGTAGATCTTATGATGACCTTGTTATTTTTGCTTTAACCGCTTTCTTAAGCCGTTCTTCGCCAGACTTAAACCTTGTTGTCATGGTCAACTCCTCTCTGCGTCTCAAGTCTACTGACATACACAGCGAGCTTCTGTACAAACTGGTAACAGCGGGAAAGCTGTCCACACGGAGGTAAACATTCGAAAAGAAACAAGCCTGTGGGCGGCGTCATACCGGCCTGTAGCATTCATTTTAAAGACGAAATGCAGCCATACGTAGATCTGGCTACATATTTCGTGCTCTCCAGAAATGTATACAGGGGGTACACTGCCATAATAAGCCTGTGTTGCTAAATCTACAATTCAGAGCATCTTGATTTAAATCCTGATAAAAACACTGATGAAAAAAATAGTATTAAAAAGTTCAATTTCACAAATAATCGAAATGAAAAGGCAAGTAGAGGACTGCTTTTAAATCAATAAAAATAAAAAGACTGAAGTTGGTGTTAGAATGTAGGTTAGTGTTCATAATGAATACTTCACTGCAATTAAGTAAGTGCATGTAACATGTATTATATATATATATATATTATATATATAATATAATATATATATTATATATATTATATGTATTACACTACCTTACTCTTTGTTCTCATGAATCTGAGAAAAGCAGACAGTTGAAAAAGAAAACATATTAGCCCACTTGCGAATGTCCCCCTCACCCCAAAATTTTCACAGTATTTACTATTAGATTTTTTCTTCTGGAGAAAGTCTTATTCCTTTTAGTTTGGCCTGAATAAAATCATATTAATACAATGTTAAACTGCCAATGCCTAGTTTGCACTGCTGGAATATAATTAAACTTTGTTGTATTATTTTAATATGCATATACATGCTATCAGTTTCAGAGTAAATTTTAAGATTCTGGTCATTACATACATGTATAGAGCTCTGCACCTCTATATATTCCAGATCTTTTAAACAGTCACTCGTACAGCCGGTCTCTGAGGTCTTCTGGCAAAAACCTTTTAGCCATTCCCAGATCTCGTCTTAAGACTAAAGGTGAGCGTGCCTTCTGTGTGGTGGCCCCATGGCTCTGGAAATCTCTCCCGCTAGCACTGAGAACTCTGGGATCAGTTAGTAACTTTTTAAAAAGCATTTAAAGACACACCTTTTTGGTCAAGCTTTTGATTAAAAGTATCATAGTGTTTCTGTATTTGGATTTTTACATAGTTTTAATATGTTTTAACATGTCTTCTTTTATTGTCCGGTGTTCTTTTACTTATTGTAAAGCACTTTGTAATGTAATGTGTATTTATATAGCGCATTTATTGTGTATGGCCATACACCCAAAGCGCTTCACAATAATGATGGGGGGGGCTCTTTTCACACCACCACCAGGGTGCAGCATCCACTTGGATGATGCGACGGCAGCCACAGGACAACGGCGCCAGTGCACTCACCACACACCAGCTACAGGTGGAGTGGAGGGACAGTGATAGAGCCAGTTCGGTGGAGAGGGGATGATTGGGAGGCCATGATCGTAAGGGCTGATAGAGGGACTTTGGCCAGGACACCGGGGTTACACCCCTGCTCTTTCACGAGAAGTGCCATGGGATTTTTAATGACCACAGAGAGTCAGGACCTCGGTTTAACGTCTCATCCGAAAGACGGCGCCCACTGACAGTGTAGTGTCCCCTTCACTTTTACTGGGGCATTAGGACTCACACAGACCACAGGTTGAGCGCCCCCTGCTGGCCTCACTAACACCACTTCCAACAGCAACCTAGTGTTCCCTAGTGGTCTCCCATCCAGGTACTGACCAGGCTCAGCCCTGCTTAGCTTCAGTGAGTAACCGGTCTTGGGCTGCAGGGTGATATGGCTGTGGCTGGGAAAGGTGCTATATAAATAAACTATATAAATAAACATTTACTTACTTACTTACTTACTTACATGTTCATAAAATCACCACTGAGATTTTATTTTCAACCAGTAAAGTACAAACGCCAGTTAAAGCAAGTACAACACCAACCCAGACAGTATATTACTGTACACTATTAAAAATGCTCAGAAAAGTCACTTTTTCTAGGTTAAAATTGTTGGGAACAAGATCAGGATCCCATAATGAAATTCAAAAGCATAAAGAAAATAAAAAAATGAATCACAAAATATGTAAAAAATGCAAATTTACAAAGATTTTTTGCATTTTCACAACAATGTATACAGAAGCACATACTTACAATAAGCACGCATTGACTAAATGCGACTTGAATGTATTAAAAATACGTTCATCTGAAACTTATCACTGTCTGAAGATGAAATGAGCAATCTTTCTAATGATTCCCCAAAAGCATTTCCGCTGTCCGTTCTTCATCAGAACGGACGTTAATGAGGCTCAAATGTCTCCTTGCGGTTGTGTTGGTGTAATCGTAACCTTCCCTCAGCTTCCAGCACATCATCACTTGTTGACAACAGTAGTTTCATCGTCACTTTAACACACACACACTGCAGATTAACACACACCACCACAGACATCCACATAAAACATTACAACCCCTGAAATCCGGCACCAACCGCTGGCACTGGGATCAGAACTAAATAAAGTTTGTGTCTCGATACTTTCTTGCTCTTTTTTTTTTGTCTAAAAATAGGAAAGATGTAGAGGAGTTCAACAGCGTTACTCGAAGTACAGCAAATAAAAGAAACACTAATGTCGCGCAGTCAGGATTTTTCATTGTTCTTGTTTGTGTTAACATGGTAGAAAGTCATTTAAAGACGCACTTTTAATCATCAAAACAATACAAGTGCAATACAACTTTTGGTAACACTTTACAATAAGGTTCATTAGTTAAGGCATTTACTAACATGAACTAATCATGAACAACACATGTACAGCATTTAATAATCATAATTGAACATTTACTAATGCATTATTAACATTTAAGTCTATGCTTGTAACATTAGTGAATGCACCATGAGTTTACATGAACTAACAATGAACTACTTTATTTTCATTAACTAACATTAACTAACATGAACAAAATACCGTAGTAAATGTATTGTTCATTGTTTGTTCATGTTAGTAAATGCATTAATTAACATTAACTAATGAACCTTATTGTAAAGTGTGATCCAATTTTTTTTTTGTCTAATACAACTTTTTTTGTATTGTAACTCTAAAATAAATGCATTTTTTTTTTAACCCAACATTGGGTGAACAATATATTGACAATAAATCTAAGGCTGGGTAATTTCAACCAAATTTAAGGTTAATTATAAACAAAACAAACTGCTGGGTTATTTCATTTGAATTCAAGTCATAACAATAGGCGTTTTAAGCATCAAAACAATGAAAGTTTAATGCAACTTTTTATTTTTTGAATGTATTTTACAGTCTAAATAAGGCTTGCTTGGTTTAACCCAAAGTTGGGTTTCTCCATATTTTGCCCAATTTGGGTTGAAAATTATTCATATGTTTTAAAATTCATGATAAAAGATGTTTGGGGATCACAGTGCAGCCCAATCATGCTCATTTAAATAATTTATAATGCAAAATACAGTTACACTCTAGAAATGCTGGGTGGTTTATAACCCAATGTTGGGTCAAATATAGACCAACACAATTATCGTGATAAAAAGTGTCATTTAAATTTAATTGAACACAATAAAAACCGGGAACAGGTGGTTTGCCAGCTGCAGGTTGGGAGAAAGTCCTTTCCCCAGGTGGAGGAGTTTAAGTATCTCTGGGTTTTGTTCACGAGTGAGGGAAGGATGGAACATGAGATTGACAGGCGGATTGGTGCAGCGGCAGCAGTAGTGCGGTTCATGAACCGGTCTGTAGTGGTGAAGAAGGAGCTGAGCCGAAAGGCAAAGCTCTCGATTTTACCGGTCAATCTACGTTCCAACTCTCACCTATGGTCATGAGCTTTGGGTCATGACCGAAAGGACAAGATCTCAGATACAAGCGGCCGAAATGAGTTTCCTTTGAAGGGTGGCAGGGCGCACTCTTATGGATAGGGTGAGGAGCTCTGACACTCGGAAGGAGCTCGGAGTAGAGCCGCTGCTCCTCCACATCGAGGTGGCTCGGGCATCTGTTTCGGATGCCTCCTGGACGCCTACCTAGGGAAGTGTTCCAGGCATGTCCCACCGGGAGGAGGCCTCGGGGAAGACCCAGGACACGCTGGAGGGACTATGTCTCTTGGCTGGCCTGGGAACGCCTCGGGATCCCCCCGGAGGAGCTGGAGGAAGTGTCTGAGGAGAGGGAAGACTGGGGTTCTCTCCTAAGACTGCTGCCCCCGCGACCCGGCCCCGCAAAAGCGTCGGAAAATGAATGAATGAATGAATGAATGAAAAAGATAACTCAACTTTGTGTTACAAACCAAACATTGTGTAAAACATTGGTTCCAACCAAAAAACAATGGCTACAACCCTGCCTCTTTAGGGTGAATTTTTTACAGCCCTTTTTACAGTAAATTACCATATTTTGTCTGTTTTTCTGTCATGTTTTGAAGTACTAATATCTACACTTAACTTTGCTACAAACAAAAACACAAGTATGTGCATGAGAAAGTCATGTGATGAATCAAAGCTTATCAAAACAAACCGTTAACAGAAAAAACACACTAATATATAGAAGACACTCAGTGTCATTCACACACTACTAAACACCATCACGGTAACACACATAAAGTAATGCAATAAACATTATAAATCAACATTGCAAGTAAAAGACAACCCCTATATGCATAACTGAAAATAAAAATAAAAATAAAGTACAATAGTAATATCAACAAAAAACATAAAAAGATCATGCAGGGAATTCTAGTAACGTCATTTTACTGTTATTAACTACATACATATATATTAAGGACACTCACTGTTAAGCAGGTTACGGATTTTTACCGTAGCATTTTTACAGTTACATTCAACGTCAATTTTTTTAACCAATTAATAGATTAAAAAACAATTTGTAGTTTTTCAGCGTCAGTGTGAGGTGTTGCTAAACATACAGCCACTTGTTTAGAAGTGTTATCCACAGAAGTGTATTATTATATTATCTCTAATCTATCACATGAGTAATAGCAGGTGTTTATTAGTTAATAACATACTATAATATAATATACTATAATGTAATACATAATATACTATCATTTTCCAAACTTTACTACCTTTTTCCAAACCTTGAATGAAAACACATTACATAAAGTTACCTCTAAAGATAATGTGTATTCAGTTTGTGTATTTAGGGAAATTTTTGGTCTCTCCCTCTTACATATTACATTCAGCTTCAATTAACATGCGATATTAGGTCTAATTGTCAATTTTTTTCTGTATGTTTATTAAGTTAAAGGGAAAGGGAATTCTAGAAAAGCGAATTTACGATTATTAACAGTATATATATATATATATATATATATATATATATATATATATATATATATATATATATATTAAGGAAACTTATTGTTAACAACATTGCTGTTTTTTACCAAAGCATTTTTGAAGCAGTTTGTTTATTAATGAAATCACTGACATTTTTAATACAACAGTAATTTCACAGGATTTACTTATTAGTTATTTAAGAAAATAGTTTTTCAGTGTCGGTAAGAGGTGTTACTAAACATACAGCCGCTGGTTTAGAGGTGTTATCCACAGAAGTGTATTATTATAATCCATTCAACCTCACGAGTAATGACGGGTTATGTGTTTATTAATATATAGTTTATTTTCCACTGACCCTCTTGCTAAGTTGGATGCGCTCTGCAGACTCCCTCATGACAGTTCTTCGGCTGCGTTCAGACTCTACGCCGCTGGAGAACAGCTCACGGCCAGACACATAACCAGCGCTCACTTTAGCACGAGCTTCTTCTGAGTCCGACAGGCCGCTCGCAAAATCATGACTGAGGAGACATTCATGTGTGTCACATTCACAACCCTTAAGATGCTGATGACTGTTAAATGCCTCATAACAGTCTTGTGAAAAGAGTCCGCAGTAAAAAAGTTATAGAATTTCTTTACCTGCCCCTGAAGATGGGCACCACATAACCGATGATCTGGTTCTCCTTGTCCATGGCCAGATATGTGGGTTTGGCTCTTTTGGGCAGAGGACTCAGGCCCTCATCGAGAGCCGTGTATGTGGCAGCTCGAATGCTGCGGCGGTGCAGAAAATACACACACACATACACATGAGCCTCCAGCACTTCTCTACACACTGTTATGAGGGTTGGAAGGGTGCGTGGTTTGGGGTATAATAGGATATTAGGATGAGGAAAAAGGTTTATGGTGTCAGTGGGGAAGGTGGTTAATCTCCTCAGTGATCAAATCAAATCACATTTTATGTATAAATTAAGTTTTAATGTTTTAAATCAACAAATTAAGACAACAGTTGAATGTTGTACTGTACGAAACAACAACAACAGCAACAACAAAAAATCTAAATCTAAAATAGGGGAAGTATTGCTGATAATTATACCGATAAGATACTGAAATATGACATATACAATACCAATATGATACTGCTATATTATATAAATACGACAACAATATGATACTGAAATATGACATGTACGATACTGATATAATACTGATATATGATATATACCATACCGATATGATACTGATATATGATATATACCATACCGATATGATACTGATATATGATATATACCATACCGATATGATACTGATATATGATATATACCATACCGATATGATACTGATATATGATATATACCAAACCGATATGATACTGATATATGATATACCATACCGATATGATACTGATATATGATATATACCATACCAATATGAAACTGATATATGATATATACCATACCAATATGATACTGATATATTTTATATACAATACCGATATGACACTAATATATGATATATACCATACCGATATGACACTGATATATGGTATATACCATACCGATATGATACTGATATATGATATATACCATACCGGTATGACACTGATATATGATATATACCATACCAATATGATTCTGATATATTATATATACAATACCGATATGACACTGATATATGATATATACCATACCGATATGATACTGATATATTATATATACAATACCGATATGACACTGATATATGATATATACCATACCGATATGAAACTGATATATGATATATACCATACCGATATGATACTGATATATTATTTATACCATACCGATATGACACTGATATATGATATATACCATACCGATATGATACTGATATATGATATATACCATACCGATATGATACTGATATATGATATATACAATACCGATATGACACTGATATATGATATATACCATACCAATATGAAACTGATATATGATTTATACCATATCGATATGATACTGATATATTGTATTTACAATACTAATATGATACTGAAATATGATATATACAATACCGATATGATACTGATGTATGATATATACTATACCGATAAGATACTGAAATATGATATATATATATGATACTGAAATATGATATAGATACGATACCAATATGATACTGATAAATGATATATAAGGTACCAAAATTATACTGGAAAATGATATATACAATACCGATATGATTCTTCTGGTGCTCCGGTTTCCCCCACAGTTTAAAGACGTGGTACAGGTGAATTGGGTAGGCTAAATTGGCCATAGTGTATGAGTGTGTGTGTGAATGTGTGTGTGAATGTTTCACAGAGATGGGTTGCGGCTAGAAGCCCATCCGCTGCGTATAAATGTACTGGATAAGTTGGTGGTTCATTCCGCTGTGGCGACCCTGATTAATAAAGGGAAGCTGATAAGAAAAGGAATGAATGTCAAGGCCAGTATCACTGATAATGATATTGATACCGATACTTGTATTGTTCATTTATCCAATGGCTATATAAATATTTATCTTCAGCTCTCTGTGATATCTTGTTTTTCTCATTTTTAGGACTGGACATGAAAAAAAAACTATAGTAATTTATGGTAAATAGTATATTATTTACGAAGAATACTGTGGTAAAGTGTATGTATTATAGTGTTTACAACCCTGTTAATAAATGCTGCCTACTGTAATATTACCTGTACAATTAAGCTGTAATAAATAATGTAGTATAATAGTTTTAACCATAGTAAACTGTACTAGTATAATATGCCCTATACACTCTCAGAGAGCAAGAGCTGTCACTGGGGTGTTACCTTGTCAAAAGGTACACATTTGCAATTAAATCGTTCATATTGTTGTAAATATAAGCACCTAATAAATTTAAAAGGTACATTTTTGTACTTTTTAGCTACTAATATGAACCCTTGAGGCATTAATATGGACCCTCTTGACAGCTCTTGTACATTTACTTATTCCATATAAACTACAGTACTGGGTTATTTGTTTATATTACTATAGTGTTGTTACCATAGTAACCATAGTTGCTATCACCACAGGTGAATTCAAGCACTTTACGCTTTGTAATGTGGTTGAAAGACAACGGCATTTACCATAAGTTCAGTCATTCATTCATTTTCTTTTCAGCTTAGTCCCTTTATTAATCAGAAGTCGCCACAGCGGAATGAACCGCCAACTTATCCAGCATATGTTTTATGCAACGGATGCCCTTCCAGCCGCAACCCATCACTAGGAAACACCCACACACTCTCATTCACACACACAGTTTATCTTACCCAATTCACCTATAGCGCATGTGTTTGGACTGTGGGGGAAACCGGAGCACCCGGAGGAAACCCACGCCAACATGAGCAGAACATGCAAACTCCACACAGAAATGCCAGCTTGAACCAGCGACTTTCTCGCTGTGAGGCGACAGCTCTACCCACTGCGCCACCGCGACGCCACTCATCCTGCTCATACTGGATTATATTATTTCTAAATAGTGCGTACTGCATAGTGTGTTTACATAAGTCCTGATTCCTCTGCTTCTGGACTGTCAGCAAACGCACGGCTCTAGATGACTTATGCCCTTCAAATGCCCTTCACTTATCACTATCTTCTCCAAGCCGCTCACGAGTCTGATTATAAATAGACTTTCAGGAGTTCAGGATAGAGAGAGTTAGAGAGAGGGTGAGCGTACTGGGAAATGCTGAACTAATACATTTACATTTACAGGACACTGTTCTTAACTAGAGCTGAAAACTAAGTATGCATTTGAGTCATTCGTTTATAAGGAGTTAATGTGACCCTTGTCTTATCTTGCATAGGTGTATCGGCTTAGTCCATTATTTATCAGGGGTCGCCACAGCGGAATGAGCCACAAATATTCGAGCATATGTTTTACGCAGCCGCAACCCAGTTCTGGAAAACACCCATACACACTCACACACACACACACACACACACACACACACACACACATAGACTACAGGCAATTTAGCTTACCCAATTCCCCTATAGCGCATGTGTTTGGACTGTGGGGGAAACCAGAGCACCCAGAGGAAACCCACACCAACACGGGGAGAACATGCAAACTCCAAACTGAAATGCCAACTGGTCCAGCCAGGACTCAAACCAGCAACCTTCTTGCTGTGAGGCAACACTGCTAATAAGTGCAATAATGCAATTTAAAAGCCTAAATATCACACTCTTTAATTTACAGATAGCACTAATTACATTTAAAACATGCTATTTCCACATTGCTTTACAAGATATTTTGTAGAATGTTGGGAAAAAAAGGAGCAATTGACATCCAAACTACACTGTAAAACAAATCTGTCATGAACAGTTTGCATATTTCATAAGTGTTTCCCTTTATTTACGGTTGTGAATAGTATTATGGGATGTTGATCTCTACTTTGTCAACTTCTGATGTGGAAAAATCAACTCTACAAATAAACAAAGTGACTTTTATTGACATTTTAGTAGTTTAAAATAATATAATGCATAATTTATAGAGAAAATTTCTTTAAATGCAGAAATCTTTAAATGAAAAAAAAGTCTTTAAATGCTTTAAATTACAGAAAATGTGCTGGCAGTTTATTACAAGGTTATATACAACACCAACCCTGACAATAAAACTATTAAAAATGTTCATAAAAGTCACTTTGTTGAACCTTTCAAGGTTAAAAGTTGTTTTAAGAAACATCAAAATCCCATAATACAATTCAAAAGCAGAAATAAATAAAACATGAATTAGAAAATACGGAAAACTGCAAACTTATGCATCTTTTTTACAGTGTAGAAATGAAAAATACTATGGAAGTCAATGGCAGCATTCCTCAGTATACCTTAATTTGTGTTTAACGGAAGAAAGAAACTCAAACAGGTATAAAAGGTACGTTTTTTTATGTGAACTATCCCTTTAATCACACGCATACTGTACATACAGTGATTTAGAAAGGTAAATGCATAATGCATATGACACACATAGCAGCATCTGCTTCTCTATAAATACACCATGACATCAAGGACACCAAATGTAGTCTGAAGCTATGTTATGACTGTTATTTATATTACCGCATGAAACAGAGATAAAGAAGCCAATACAATCACCAGCGAGCTTTTGACAGATTTCAGTTTGTGCAAGTTGTCGCAGCGCCGTACACTTGAAGCTACAGTTACATAACTCCCAAAACAAGACAGAAGATAACCTTACATTCTGACATTCAGAGTGACCCAGCAAGACAAAAACAAGCCAGAAGTCACATGACCAAAGGGTGTAAATCACACAACATACAGCCAAGCAGATCCAAACCACAGAAAAGAGAGCACGTTTTGAATCAATAAGCACTCTATGCAGGTACTAAAGAAAGACATATCTGAAATAAAAGTTCATTAAGAATAGTATAGTTCACCCAAAAATTACAATTTCCTTGCTGATTACTCTCACACTCAACTTTAATGCATTTATTTCTACTTTTGAACACAAAACTAGACATTCTGAAGAATGTTGACAAAAGCAGCCATTGATATTTACACTCACCGGCCACTTTATTAGGTACACCATACTAGTACAGCAATGGATCCCCTGCCTTTTGCCTTCAGAACTGCCTTGATCCTTCATGGCATAGATTCAACAAGGAACTGGACATTTGCGTCCACAGAACTGCCGCTCACTGGATGTTTTCCCTTTTTCGGACCATTCTCTGTAAACCTTAGAGATGTTTGTGCGTGAAAATCCCAGTAGATCAGCAGTTTCTGAAATACTCAGACCAGCTTGTCTGGCACCAACAACCATGCCACATTCAAAGTCACTTAAATCCCCTTTCTTCCCCATTCTGATGCTCAGTTTGAACTGCAGGAGATCATCTTGACCATGTCTACATGCCTACATGCATTAAGTTGCTGCCATGTGGAATGTTAAATGCGTTAACGAGCAGTTGGACAGGTGTACCTAATAAAGTGGCCGGTGAATGTATAGTAGAAACAAAAATACTATGGATGTCAATGACTGTTTTATCCCAAACCCTTTGGAATATATATATATATATTCCAAAGGGTTTGGGATAAAACAGTCATTGACATCCATATATATATTTATATTTATATATACTTACATTTCTTATTTATTTATTTATTTATTTTTGCATGTCATGTTCAACTGCACAAAAGACTTACAAAATGTTACATTACTTGAAGAGGGTGTTCATATGACTTTATAATCATGACATGACACATCATGAAAATTAGATTTTATGCACTCTTTTGACAACTGTTATTAAGTGTTATTTGCTCAGTTTTGTCATTTTAAATGCAAAGATGGCAGTGTTTAAGATTGTTCTTTGACAACTCAACATAAACAAATACATCATAACCTGTCTTTGTCTGTTTTATGACAACCTGGCATTACCAAGACAACATTGCTTGTCATAAATCTGTCATAAACATGATTGTCATGAGGCCAATATAATTTTGTCATAAATTTTATAACAGCATCATTAATGTTTTAACTACAGTGGTACAAATCAAATTTGTCATTAAATTATCATTAAATGTCATTAAATATTTATGACACTAAAACATTTTATTGGCATATTCAGTTTGTTTTACTGAAAAAAAAGTGACTAGAAAAATTTTATGACAATTATAATGGCCTCACAATCAATCTGTGCTTTTGAAAACACTGTCGGTTTAGTTTAGGGAAGGAGGTGGCTGGGTCAGTCGGTTGGTCAGTCAGTCAGTCAGACGACAGCGGCCTCTGGTGGATTTACGCAAGAAGAGCAGGTGTGAATGGCACCCGCAAGAGAAATTTGAGATCTGAAAAAGCATACACAGTGGCTTTTGGTGGATTCGCAAAAACAAATACTGCAAAAAAACGTAGCTCCTGGGATGTATTTGGCGCTCTGCAGAAATCTATATAGGGGTATGTTTTCAGAGCGAGCTTAAACAATGTCATCTTTGCATATAAAATAGCCCAACTGAGCAAATGACACTGTCTAAAGCAGTTGAATAGTTGTCATAAGCATACATAAAATCCCCTATAAATTCACGTCGTGTTATGTCATTAGAAATGTTTCATCACAGTCTTATGAACCTCGCCTTCAAATAAAGTGTTACCAAAAACAATGCTTGGAACAAGTGGAGTAATTGATGACAGAATGATCATTTTTGCGTGAACTAACCCTTTGTTCACTTCTTTTTTAAATCAAATTCATTCATTTGTTCATTCATTTTCCTTCGCCTTAGTCGCTAATTTATCAAGGGTGACCACAGTGGAAGGAACCACCAACTATTCCAGCATTTGTTTTATGCAGCGGATGCCCTTCCAGCAAAGTGTACACACTCTCAAACATCAAAAATCAAAGAGACACCAGTGACAAGTAGTTTACTGAAAATAAGGCAAACTTTTCGCTCAAGTGTTGATTATTGTCAATGCCAAACAAACACACCTATTGGACGTCTTTTTACTTTAAAGCAATACCAATATACCAAATAGATGAAACCAAAGCTGAATATATCATACGTCCACTTTAAAGTGCATGTGATCTGTCATCTGAGGAATATACTGTATAATGAGTGTCAAAAACAGCACACTGCATGCAGAATTCACCGATAGTTTAAAGGTATTTTAGGATGAATGGGAGATTCAGATATTAGCACATATTACACAAAACCAGGGGTAAAAGTAGTGGGTCATTTTTGTCTTTGCATGAAGGATGTGGTGCGATCACATTAGAGAAATTGTGGTGAAATTTCATGGACAGACATGTATAATCAAAGCATACGCGCACATAGAAATGTAAATCAAAACAGTTAACTAATACTCCAACATATAACCCAACTTTAGGTTACTATGGGTTATTTTAACCTAGGGCATTGCATTACATAATTTAACCAAATGCATTGGGTTATTTTGATTAAATGTTATGTTTTTTCATTCTGGTATTACTAATGCTACTATTACTATGCTACTATTAATTTTATAATTATGGCTGGGTAAATAAATAACATAAAGTTTACAAAAATATTGAAATGCTTCATTTCCATTACATTTTAGTTCCAGACACTTTTGTTAAAATAAATCCAGAAACACAAACAATAAAGAGACAGAACAAAGTGCAGACAAATATAAACTGAGCAAGCATCATGTGTTGATGGAGCAGAATATGGAGCTGTAGAGACTGTCCCGCAGCTGCAGCAGGCTTCACTCAGAGTCCGCAATGTACAATACATTTAACCACATCCAAACGCTTCTAAAAGATGGTCTAGATGGTGAAACGGATATAAAAACCACGACACGGAGGTAATTTGTTAAAAAATAACAACAAAATTATTGTGTTAGGGCTTAAACAAACTTTATAACGCAAAAACAACATTACGCACGCATATTAATACAGCTGTTTTGCATCAGGTAAGTCAGTTGACTGTTAAAATTCAAATATTTAACCCAACTGGTTGAGTTAATAATAAATAACCCAATAAAGGTTAAAAATAACCCAACAAAGCACCAAATATTTAACCCAACTGTTTGAGTTATTAATAAATAACCTAATAAAGGTTAAAAATAACCCAACAAAGCACCAAATATTTAACCCAACTAGTTGAGTTATTAAATAAATAACCTAATAAAGGTTAAAAAATAACCCCAAAAAGCACCAAATATTTAACCCAACTAGTTAAGTTATTAATAAATAACCCAATAAAGGTTAAAAATAACCAAACAAAGCACCAAATATTAAACCCAACTAGTTGAGTTATTAATCAATAGCCCAATAAAGGTTAAAAATAACCCAACAAAGCAAAAAATATTTAACCCAACTAGTTAAGTTATTAATAAATAACCCAATAAAGGTTAAAAATAACCCAACAAAGCACCAAATATTTAACCCAACTAGTTGAGTTATTAATCAATAGCCCAATAAAGGTTAAAAATAACCCAACAAAGCAAAAAATATTTAACCCAACTAGTTGAGTTATTAATAAATAACCCAATAAAGGTTAAAAATAACCCAACAAAACACCAAATATTTAACTCAACTGGTTGAGTTATTAATAAATAACCTAATAAAGGTTAAAAATAACCTAACAAAACACCAAATATTTAACTCAACTGGTTGAGTTATTAATAAATAACCTAATAAAGGTTAAAAATAACCTAACAAAGCACCAAATATTTAACTCAAATTGAGGTATTAATAAATAACCTAATAAAGGTTAAAAATAACCCAACAAAGCACCAGATATGTTCAACCCAACCATTTGGTTAAATAAATAACTCAACGTTTTTTAGAGTGTACATGGTTAAATAAATGAATGTAAATGTCCCGCCAGGACTAAATGATATTTTCCTTTAAAATTACGAGATTTCATCCACAAAATTTCACCACGCAATGGCAAATGTGAGCGCACATGTATTACAGGGGTGTGAGGAAGGTGTATTACAGGGGTAAATGAAGACCTGGCTTTCAGAGTTAAAGTGATGGGAGAGGGGATGGTTTATGCTCTCTTACCCCTTGGAGCTTTTGCTGCTATGTGCAGAATAACTACTGGAGCTCTGCTGGTATTGGCTGATAGCAGACTCTGTTTCTCGGCTACGGTAGGATCGGTCATAGTGGCGGTGGTGTTTCTGGTAGAACGGTATCGATCCCGACATTGTGTCCTCTTTACCGCAGACACTGTCCTCAGCTCTTTTTGTGGTTTTGAAAAGATTAAAACCTCACTGTAAAAAATGCTGGGTTCCACACAAATCCTTCATGTTATCCCAACACAAATCAACGTAATTCTTTATACAAATTTAACTGGATTGAACATAAAACAATTAAGTTGTCCCTCGAAACACCTTAAGAATTGTGTTGTTTCAACTCATCTTAAAGGTGCAGTATGTAAGTTTGACACCCAGTGGTTGAACTAGGTATTGCACTCCTGGATCAAAACACATTTTCACTCGGCTCCTCCTCTGACGAGTCCACGCAAGTGCAGGTTACCAGATTAACGTGAGTGTCCCTGACTAAAGGCCGATTTAAGGCTGATTTGAACGGTTTTCTAACTAAAAGCAACTGTGAAGAACTGTGACTGAGTGCAAGCTAACACATTTCAGTGATTCAGCATCTACATTTAATATTGCTAAAGAGGCTTAATGTGTATTAATTAGATTATAAACCTGACCATTTCGCTGGAGTGCAGTGAGTGCACTATTCTGTGCTTCTGAATGGCTGTATTTAATTTTCTGTCGTCTTTCGTCTGGTGCAAACAGCTCAATTGCTTATCACTGCAAATCTCGTCACGTAGCGTGTTGTTAGGACACGCGGTTGCAATGTAACCTGCATGCTCACCTCATGTTTACGTTCATTATATTTATATTATTTGCTAATTAATAACCACATGTGGAACTCTGAATCTGCGTCTCATTTCAGAGTCTGCTACTGTCCACCAGAGGTCGCATTTCGGTCGTGGACGCACACTTTTGAGAGCCTTCCTGACTAAAGTTTTCCAGCAAGGCAACTCAGGGCACTCAAAATGTAATTAGCTAAATTGGCATTGGGCGGGTTATAAGAACCAAAACAAAGACAGACGTTCAGGCACATAACAGACTATCTGTACATAGACAGCAGAATATCTGACTTCAGCATTGTTTTTCAGATAAACAAGAATGTTCACTTGGCATGTTTCTTTAATATCTACAATCTTATTATGGTATTTTTATGCTTTAGAAGAGTCAAGAACTTACATACAGCACCTTTACATAAGTAGTTTGAACAAGCAGCAACAGTCATTTTTTGGGTGTTTCCATCAACACATCAGAACCCAACTGGGTTAAAAAAACTAATTTAAAAAAATCCGAACGTTGTTTTTTTTTCTCCATAAGTGACACAGCATTGAGTTACGACAACCCAGCATTTTTAGTGCATTTTTAAAAAATAATGTAAAATCCACCCCCTTAAAATTTGTGTATAATCCATGAGATTAAACAAAAATGTCACCTGCCATCACATATAGTTAAGCTCAAAATTATTCGCCCTCCTGTGAATTTTTTTAAATATTTCCCAACTGATGTTTAACAGATTCAGGAATTTTTCACAGTATTTCCTATAATATTTTTTCTTCTGGAGAAAGTCTTATTTGTTTTATTTCGGCTAGAATAAAAGCAGTTCTTAATTAAAAAAACAAACATTTTAAGGTCAATATTATCAGCCCCTTTAAGCAATATTAGTTTTCGATTGCCTCCAGAACAAACCATCATTATACAATGACTTGCCTTATTGCCCTAACTCACCTAATTAACCTAGTTAAGCCTTTAAATGTCACTTTAAGCTGAATACTAGTATCTTGAAGAATATCTAGTAAAATATTATTTATAAAATATTATCATGCAAAGAGAACAATAATCAGTTATCAGAAATGAGTTATTAAAACTATTGTCTAAATCTTAAATCTTCTCTCCGTTAAACAATAATTGATGATCAAAAATATACAGGTGGGCAAACAATTCAGAAGGGCTAATAATTCTGATTTCCACTGTATGCATTCATCATCTCACCTTGTCAGATGTCTGAAAGCAGATCTGAGAGCAGCGCGTCAGGAAAACTCCAGCAAGATCCAAATCCAAGCAAAGACGCAAACTGACCAGGAGCTGCTGCTGCTGCTGCTGTCCACACAACAGAAATAATATTGGGGATGGCAGGAATGTCCAGGCGACTCTCACGACCTTTTATGGCGACTGTGACGGTAAATATAGCCGTAGAGCACAGGAGTACCGGCGCATTTTACACTGACGTGCTGCGCCTGATAACGTGACTGACTGCAGGAGAGTTGCATACTCGGGTATTAGTTTATAGGCTAATACTTCCACACTAGACTGCTGTCATTTACAGTATGCATGTAAAAAATGTAAGGTAACACTTTACAATAAGATTGTATTAGTTAATGTCAGTTACTGCATTTACTAACATGAACGAACTAATAGTAATACATGTATTATGGTATTTATTCATGTTTGTTAAGGTAATGTTACAGAAGCACAACTTTGGATTTTAATAATGCATTAGTTAACGCGTTAATGAGCATGAAATTATTACAGTATTTGTTTATGTTAGTTAATAAAAAGTACAGTTGTTCGTTGCTGATTCATGTTGACTCCCAGTGCATTAAGTAATGTCAACAATGAGTTTGGATATTAATAATGCATTGGTAAATGTTGAACTATGATTAATAAATGCTGTACAAATATTGTTTATATTAGTTCATGCTAGTAAATACATAATACTAATGAATACATGAATACTTAAAAGTAATGAAATCTTATTATAAAGTGTGACCAAATGCATGTCTTATTTTAGATTATAAACCAGTAGCTAGATGTTATGGTAGCGCTGTTTTTAAACAAAGGTTTAAGTTTTGAATAATATAAAAACTGAATATTTAGGACTGTTGTTCAAATTCAGTCAACACAGCGCTGTAAAAAAACGAAGAACGTAAACAAAAGGTCGCACGCGCAATCAGCGGAATCCAGAACAGCATGTGAGCAGATTTGATTATTGAACAGATTTGATCGTAATAATCTAGAAAAAGTCTGTAAAATAACAGTGTTTTTCTGTAAACATTTTAATGAAAATACCTGCAGATTTATTTATTTTTTTGCACTTTATTTCAACAAAAAAAAAATTTACCATAATTTTGTTTGTTTGGCAGCCGTAGCTGCCATTCATTTGACCCTTTTTTAGTTTTAATTTTCTTTACAGAGCAAGTAATTACAATTTATTACTTTAATTTAACGTAATTTTAAATGTACTTTAAAAATGTACTTTAAAATGGCTTTAAAAAATAAAAACTGCTTTTATTCTAGCCGAAATAAAGCAAATAAGACTGCTTATTTTTCCAGAAGAAAAAATATTATCAGACATACTGTGAAAATTTCCTTGCTCTGTTAAACATCATTTGGGAAATATTGGAAAAAGAAATTCACAGAGGGCCATTTTTAAAGCTACTTTGCCTCGCAATTGTCTTCAGAGTCCATCAGGCAAAAGTGGAGCTGAACCGAAATGTGAAAGCGTCACTTATTAGACCCTCCGTATGTATTTACACTGAATTTTACAAGCAAACTAGATTTTTCCGGTGTTCACTTGGAGAAATGGTTAGATTACCTTCATGAGCCTCTGACCTTATTGCTGTTTTCCTTTCCAAGGCCTTCATCTCAGCTGTGGTCTGAACTAACAATAGCCATGCTATTGTTACCCCCCTCACATACAACACATACCAGCAACAATGTGTGCGTGAAGTAGAGATAAATATAAATAAACACAATGAGAAGAGACCCAGAGGCAGGCGTGCTGTAATGTCTCTCACAGGTTTAACAGATATGCACAAATGTTGCCAGACTGCCTACAGAGAAGAAAAAAAACAACAAGCCAGGCTCATTCTGAAAACGTACCGCTATATACAATTCTGAAGACCACCAAGAGGTTTGGTTTTTTCCAGTTTTTGTATTCGTGAATCCAGCAGAGGTCACTGTGTATGCTTTTTCAGACCTTAAATTTCTCTCGGCAGTGCCATTCGTGCCCGCTGTTCTTGCGTAAATCCACTAGAGGCCACTGTCGACTGACTGACTGACTGACTGACTTATCGACTGACCCAGCCTCCTCCTTCCCTAAACCCAACAATAGTGTTTCCAAAATCAATCCAGAAAGAAAAAAAAGCCTTCGCAGCAGTCTGATTTTTCACCACATTTTCAGATCTTACCACATTCTCACCTTGTTATTTATTTATTTATTTTATTTTTCGGCTTTAGTTTTTGCCTTATCTGCTTTCTGGAACCGTTTCTCGCCAGACTCTCAGTCAACTCCGCTCCACATCACAAGTCCTACGACATACATGGGAAGCCACTGGACAAACTGGTTGCAGCAGGAAAGCTGTCCATATGGTGGTAAGCGGTCAGCTGGTAAGCATGAAAAGAAACAGCATCATACCGCCCTGTAGCATTCGTTTTAATAACGAAATGCAGCCATATGTACCTCTGGCTACATAATTCATCATGACCTCCAGAAATGTATAGGGCTAGGATTTTAAAATGAGCCTATGTTGAGAAAACACCTTCATTTAAGTAAAGTTTATTTATAAACTAATTTCGAGAGAATCACGTGCTTGTGATTGCTCGCGGTTGGTCCTGCATTAGCCAATTTATGATTCACCAATCAGACGATTCCTAAGGCATTATAAATACCATAAGTTTCATATCACAGCCATCTTCGTTTTGAAGAATCCCCCCTTCCACCCCAACTCCTCCTCCTTCTAATATGGGTGACACGGTGGCCCACTGTTGCCTCACAGCAAGAATGTCACTGGGTCTAGTCCTTACCAAGGCAGCTGACGTTTCTGTGTGGAGTTTACACGTTCTCCCTGTGCTCACGTGGGTTTCCCTCGGATTCCCCGGTTTAGTCCCACCGTCCAAAAACATGCAACTTAAGTTAATTGACTAATCCAAATCAGCACCATAGACATGCTCCTAAGTTATCTGTTAAGAGCGATCACTATCTCTTTATTAGCTAATACAGCAGGGGAGATCTCCAGATCTACCTGAGCTCAAACTCCCCTCTCGCCTTGCAAATGGGAGGGAGCCCCAGGCTCGAGGATCTTATGAGCTCAGGGCTCTCTCCTAGGACAGCATGCCAAACAAGCTTTATAATCAATCATCGCTAAGTGTGAACTCTTGAAAATCTAAATAATGACATGCCATATCTTAAAGGGTTAGTTCACTCAAAAAATAAAAAATAAATGAATTAAAATAAAGTTAGTTAGTATCAGTATGTTAGTCTTAAAGATTTGGAGTGTGCACTATAAAGTGACAAAATTCGCATTTAGAAGATATAAACCTGATATAAACATGCAAAGCTTGTAGTTTGTTTGCACTGGCTTCCACTAATATGCATGTGCATAAGGCAGACTGGAAAGGCAAGCAAGTTTCACTTGTTGCTGCATTCCAAAATTCAGGCTTGGTGACCTGCACATTTGCATCATGTCAATACCTGAGACGTGCAGAAGAGCAATGATCCTTTTATCAGTCACATCATCTTGTTTCTTCCCACCCCTTGTCACAGCATCGTCACACAGAACTTTGCATACTCAATACGCTCTAAAAATCCCGGGTCCCACACAATCGATTTGTGTTGGAACAACATAAAGGAAGTAAGTGAACTAACTAGTTTTTACAAATTTAAGTGGATCGAACATAAGACAATCAAGTTGTCACATTAAAAACTCAAGAGTTGTGTTGAAATAAGTTGTTCAAACAAACAGTAAAGTGTGCTGTGATAAACCCTTTAACACGGTCACAAATCAGTCAAAATATTTTTGAAGATTTGGATACACAAACTTGTATAATTTGTCCCTATAAAATATCCTTGAAGTGAAAAGGAACTAAAAATGTTTTGGCATCGTACTGCCATAACATAGCCTTTGAATCTTTCGATGGAAACACTACTTTATTCACATAATATCCATGCAATGTTCCAGTTTTGCACACAAGTTCAAAGGGGACCTATTATGCTCATTTTTACAAGATGCAAAATAAGTCTCTGATGAGTGTGTGTGAACTTTCAGCTCAAAATACCACACAGATAATGTTTATAACTCTCTGAAACTCACCCTGTTAGGCTTTGATCCTAATTGTGGCATTTTGGTGACTGTCGCTTTAAATGCAAATGAGATTGTGCTCTTTTCAAAAGAGGGTGGAGCTACGGGTACCTGTGTGTCAGCATAGTGGCAGATTCAAAAACAAGACTGATGTCCTATGCTAATGAGGGAGAGATGGTCCCTAGTGGGCGGGCTTTCCCCCTCTGATGACACGTACAAAGGGAGCATGTCAATCAAAGCGTTTCTGCAGACTGATTTTATTTATTCTGATTATAAAAAATTAATACATTTGTACCATTAGAAGCTGATTATATTTACACTGTTACCACCTAACTATGTTTAAACCTCTTATTAAAGTGAGTTTTGTATAATAGGTCTTCTTTAAGTCACATCTTTAGATGGAAACATGACCAAATTTTCCTTTTTAGATGAACTACATCCCTTTACACCGAATTCCTCGCACATAAACACCAGAGATTAAACGGTAATGCCTAAAGCTCCAGTTACATTGGTGCCAATCAAACCCTGAGAGGGAAATCTTCCTGGAAAAAGTGTGAGTGTGCTTGCATGTTCAGGCCAGCTGCCTGTTTATGAGACTGTTGTTGTCATGAATATGCCATATGTATTTTCATCCCTCCTCAAAGAAGCTTTGTAATAGTGTTTGGACGAGCACACGTTTGGCTGACCCTGGATTAAACACAGCTGCTGCGCTGCGTCATCTCTACATCAATATACATGCAGTCAAACACATCATGCTTTGCTTCATCATTCATTCACTCGTTTTCCTTCGGCCTAGTCCATTATTTATCAGGGGTCGCCACCGCAGAATGAACCGACAACTATTCCAGGATATGTTTTACGCAGTGGATGGCCTTCCAGCTGCAACCCAGAACTGGGAAACACCCAGACACGCTCATTCACACACACACACACACACACACACACACACACACACACACACACACTCATACAGCCAATTATGCTTACCCAATTCCCCTATTGAACTGTGGGGGAAACTGGAGCACCCGGAGGAAACCCACGCAAACGCAGGGAGAACATGCAAA